AGGCATGATTGTGTCTGCCCAATTAGGGAACAATGCATCACACCACCAAGAAGGGCACACACACACATGCACACACCATTGTGGATGAAGGGCATTTTCTTGAATTGCACATGCAAGTGCAATTGAAAGAGAAGTGTGGAGTGTGCATGTGTGTGTGTGTGTGTGTGTGTGTTGTGCACCATGACATGCATTTTAAGTTGGGTTTTCCTGTGGGGGGTTCTGTGTGTTTCCACCCACAAGTACTTATATTACTATTGAGATGACACACACACACACACACCACATACACACATGCCACACACAACACACACACAAATAAGTTCAGCATTCATATGATTATGGGAATAAAAGTGCCATTTGCATATGGTGGCAAACAAAAATAACAAGCCAAGAGAGGGGACAAGTGTGCCAGGTGAGGGTAAGGCAAACAACATAGTCAGGTATAACATACAAGGGGGTGTTGCATATGAGCATGTAGGGCATGAACAGGGGAACAGGATGGTATGCATCTCAAGGCAAACAGATGAGGTGGGGCCAAGCTAGAGTGTCTACAAGAAACCGGCCAATAGGAAAATAGGGCAAAAATGCACAAACCAATGAAAAAATAGCAGAAAATCCTGCTTGCACGCCATTGGTCCAGGAAACTCCCCTAACCCTAACCCTAACCCTAACCCTAACCCTAACCCTAAACCCTAACCCTAGCTCCTCAACAACTGCTGTTGCTTCCCCACCTGTCCCCTCCACTTCAAGCCCCTGCTGGAGGGTGAGAACCTATGGAGCCATCTGGCCCCTGGTGGTTGCATGCTGGGATTCCATGGTGCCTGCTGCTGTGCCGCTCAAGAATGCAACAGTTCCAATCAGCACTATCTGATGGTCATCCAGCAACTGGGCAATGAAAGGGTGAACCACTATGACCACCCTCAACTGCCTTTGGTGGATGGCATGGCCATTGTTGTGAGCCACTTTAGGACCAAGGGAATGTAAGACCAATGATTGTCCAATGACAATGACAACTTCATCACTTTTGGTGGTGGTGGCAGTGGAAACTCCCTTAAGGTTAGTGTCCCTTGCTGGAAAGGCATTGTGCCAACGACAAGAGTTGACTGCATTGTGGCAAAGCAAGGTTCTCTTGTTGCAGAAATTCCAAGACATTGGCCATGGAAGAAGAAGTGCTGGTGCCATGGACAAACACCACCATGGGGTGGCCGCAGAGGTGCACCTTAGTGTTGTACAATGATCTGTAAATGAAAAAAAACTGTGAACTGTACCTATGGCAGGCCAGTCTTGGTCCCAGTTACAAAAACATGTCATTGTGGTAAGAGCAAAAAGGAAGATGACCACCCCCACCACAACAGCATGCAGTTTGACCCCAAGGCCAACAGCATGCTGCATGCTGTGTGGATTGAAAAGGGAAACTGTTGTGGATGCAAGCAAAACATTGACAACACACAACTCAAATGGTGAAGTGGCAAAAGTCTGCACTAAAACTGGTCTGTTGTCGCCAGCATGCCTGTGTTTTGACATGAGCCCTCTAATTGTGTCAAGTGTCTTGTGGAACCAGTGCCAAGGGTGAGTGGTAGGGTTGGATCTTGAGGAGAGAACTCTTGTTTTGTTGCACATGCTCCAAGAGGGCCACAGGGCCAAGCATCCCATTCATGCAGTTGCCCATGGGATGGTGTGAAGGCTGGCTCAGAGAAACTGAAAGACGGCGCACAAATCCAGACCATGTGGATGTCAACAACTTTTGGAGGTGTCTCAAGGAGTAGGAGGAGGCTGAAGGTTTTGGAAGGGTGGGGTGGGGAAGGATGGGTTGTTTTTCCTTAGTCCTCTTCACCTCCAACCAACTGTCTGTATGGTAGGGCTTGCCAAACTTCAAGATCCAAGATGCCATTGGTGATCATCATCCATACCATCAGCCACCACCAAATGTTGTTTCATCATAGTTGTTGGAGACTTGAGTTCAGGACAGATCTGGGTTGGAATGGTACAGATGGATGGAAGACTCCAGCAGGAACCATTTGAGGACCTAGTCTCAGTCTCCTGGCTTTCTCTACCCCTCCATCCATACCACTACCAAGACATCATCATCATCATCATTGACGTCAACATCAGTGGTGGTGACACTGCTGGCCAACCACCAAGGGACAATGATGACATCAGAAGGCTTCAAGACCAAGTCATCAACGTTGACTCCATATGGTGGCCACGCCACATCATGGTCAAGTCATCAGTGTCATCATCATCATTGGTGGTGGTGGTTGCAATGGAGATGATGTCCTGCCAACACTGTGTCCGGAAAAAGGTGCCAGTGGCACCTTTTGTTAAGTAAAATCTGTACAAGTGATATATGTGTATGTGCAGCGAAAGCAGTACTTTTGTGAACATGGTGTGTGAGTGGTTTTGCCAAATTATGTACAGAGAGTGGCAAAACAGGGAAAAATGGTGTAGGTCATGGTAAAAGCAGATGGGGCCAATGAAGAATTTCAAGGCATAAGTGTAAAAAAGGGCAAATGTATTTTGTTGGAATGAGGAACAGAACAGAGTGGAGGGAAACATTAGCCAATGGACTTCCGCACTTTCTGTGGACCGGAAGAGGAGGAGGAGCTGGTCTTGGGTGTGAGAGGGGCAAGGGCAGGATGTGAAGTTAGGCCTTGTAGGAAGGAAGTGATGGCTGTGAGATCTGACTCCTCCAGGAATTTAGAGTGGAAGGTGAGGAGCCAGTTGCCGAGAGAGGAGATGTTGCCCTCTGCTATGGGGGTAGAGGAGAGGCAGACAAAGCTGGAGTAAAGGGCAGCACAGAAGGAGAGGTAGTAGGTGGGATTTGCCTCATAGAGAATGTGGTAGGGGGTGGTGGGCGATGTGATGGGGTGGGGAGAAGGATTGGGAAGCTCTAAGCTCTGGATGAGGAAGCTGTAGAGGCCGATGTGAAGCGGGGTGCGGTCCGATGATTGAGCAGTGAGGAAAGCAGGAGCAGAGCGGACAACCTCACGCGTTGGGTGTGGGATGGGGATGTGGTGCAGATAGCAGAAGGGTTTGGGGATGGTGTCGCTGGCCAGAGGATGCCAGATGGCGGACATGTTAACCCTCTTGTGGCTGAAGATGAGAACATCGAAGCCACTGATGAGAGGTTCAGAGGTGGGCATGGAGCTGGAGTAAGTTGGGGAGCTGTAGTAGAAGTGGAGTAGGCGGAAGACCTGGAGGGTGGAGTGTGACTCGAGTGAGGTGATGGCGTTGGCGATGTTGGAGGGAGATGAGGAGATGTAGAATCCGACGCCGTAAGACTTCGATAGGCGAGTTGCTGCATCGTCGATGTTGAGAGGAATGTCCACACTGTGGATGGTAAAGTCATGCATGTAGATCAACACCTGTGGAAGAAAAAAACCAGTGGACAACAGGAATAAGTGAAAAACCGATGCGCATCGGGAAAAGTGTCGACAAATAAAAAACCGATGCGCATCAGGAAAGCAATGCGGGCCGATAAACGCACCGGCCATTCATGGAATTGCGTTGGTTGGCCAAGAAGCTTGGTGAGCGGCTCAGTGAATTGGGGGAGATACTTTTTCTGGAGAGCAAGCTCTGCCTTGTGCTTGATGGTAGATGGCGACTTTTCCTCTTCAGCCTTACCCTTGCCACGTTTCTTGGTAGCTGTAAAGAACAAGCATGTGGTGAGCTTGGAACTTTACCAGCAAAATGAAAACGTACTGGTTGGGGTGGTCGGAGTGGTGCCAGAAGCTTCAGCGGCAGTGGGTACCGCGGGCTGAAGTCAGATAATAGTGGTGTAAGTGAAAGTAATGGGGTGTGAATTGGAACAGGAAGGAGTTGATTTATACCATTTTCCCCTTGGCCAACGCAGAAAGACGCCGGCGCTGTTCGCTTGTGGACGTTGAGGCAAGGGATGCCTCCTCTGCTCGAGAAGCTGCGGTGGCACGTGCAATCTCCCCTCGTAACTGGCGAGGTGTGGTCTCCTCTGCCTCATCGCTGAGAAGTTTCGACTGGAACAGGTGCTTGTGGAACGTGTCGACAACTTCGGAGGTGATGCTGTGGGGCTGCTCGATCTCAATGTTTTTACCGCGCGGCGCGATGTATTCCGCAACGCAGATCCGGTCCCAGATGTGGCGAAGCTCCTCAGGATCTTCGCAGCAGCAGTCAGCCTCCGTGGCTGCATGAACGGCCTGACGAAAGGCCTCCATCTGCCTTTTGATCATGCTCCAGTGGTTGGTGATTAGCGACCAGAAGTTCTCTGGCAAGAGGGAAGTAGTTAGACTTGTGGGGAGAAGAACAAAAGAACTAAAAAGAAAGGACATACTCTTGGAAGGGGCTTGGTGTTGATAGCGCTTATAATGACGAAGCACAGCGATCATGTCGTTGGCACTCAATTCCCTGAAGGCACCAGAGTTGAGGTTGTCAAGGGAGATGAACACCTGACCCTCTGGAACGAGGCGATTGAGTTCCTTGATAAGACTGGAAAGGGGAACAGTTAGTGAGGACTCAAAACAAAGGTGAAGAGTTAGAGTAGAAATAACATACTCCACCACTCCTGGAGCATGGAACAGGGCCCTTAAGGTAGTCGAGTACTTCTGCAGAGTGGTGGGCTTTGGTGCAGCATGACCCTTGAGCGTTTTCTGTGAGGTGTGGGGTGATGAGTAATGGTTTGAAATACGAAGGTGGTGGACATACCAGGTGCTCAGCGAGAGCATTGTAGTCGGTAACAGTTTTTTTGCCACGTGTGATCTGGAAGAGTGGGTTTTGGCCGAGGGTGTAGTAGTTCAGGGCCTTCTCGAAAGCATTCAGGACGACTGAGCCCGCCGAGTTGATGTAGTTCTCGAAGCCGGAGATGCGGTTGAGGATGATCCAGCTGAGTTCCATCCCTGCAGCTGCTGGCACAACTTCGTAGACATTCTCCCACTGCCAGTGCTCGATGAGGTTCCAGACCACAACTCTGTGGTTACAATCGACGGCCTCTGGAAGGTTAAAAGTTAGTACCCAAAAAAACCGATGCGCATCGGGAATTGCGAATAGCCTAAAAACTGAATGGCCATGAGTGCAGCTAAAACGAAGTGGTGTGGGAAGTAATACCAAACTCATCGACGTTGTTTCGGTCAAGGCGCTCATCTTCATTGAGAAATCTAACAATGAAGGGCTTGGTTGTGAGACACCCTCCATCCACAACAGACTGCAGCAAGTGACGAATTCCTGGAACTGTCACTGGGCGATGCCGTTCTGATGGCAGTGCAGGCGGTTAGCAAGTGAAAGCATCTACACATTGCCAGAACGAAAAGAGGAGTTGTACCAAAGATGGTGCAGTTCCGAACGTCAAGGTGGCGTGATGTGGGTTGAACCCAGGTACGGTGCAAAGTTGAAGGGTCGATGCAATCGAGCTGCTCCTTCTGCTGGCGAATTGCTTGGTCGTTGCGGGTCACCCGAAGGCTGGCGCTGACGATGTTGGGGTTGGACTGAAGCGATTGGAAATTCGGGAGCGTATGAATTTTCGTTTCTGAATAGTAAGGTTGAGGTAAGCAACACAAACTGTTAGAGAACATGGTTCTCACAGGTCGAAAATAAAACCCGATGCGCATTGGGAAAAGAGTCAACAAATAAAAAACCGATGCGCATCAGGAAAAGAGTCAACAAATAAAAACCCGATGCGCATTGGGAAAAGAGTCGACAAATAAAAAACCTGATGCGCATTGGGAAAAGAGTCGACAAATAAAAAACCCGATGCGCATCGGGAAAAGAGTCGACAAATAAAAAACCCGATGCGCATCGGGAAAAGAGTCCACAAATAAAAAAACCGATGCGCATCGGGAAAAGAGTCCACAAATAAAAAACCCGATGCGCATTGGGAAAGGAGTCCACAAATAAAAAAACCGATGCGCACCGGTTTGAAACTTGTCAGTGTGGTGAACAGTAAAAACACACAAAGTGTACATACCTAGCTCCAGGTCGGGCAGGGCAAGTAGTCTGGCGGCCTCCTTGCGTTGCTCTTCGGTGTTGCCTGCGGAGTACTGGTGCACCACCGGCTGCTTGTGAGGCTTGGTCTTGATCTCCTCCGCCTCCATCTCCTTGTCCACGTCAATCACCTCTGGGCGTGCGCGTTTCCTCTCCTTGCGCTCTTCCTCTACCAGCTTGCGCTTCCTTGGCGGCGCTTGGTGCTCCTCCTCCTCCAGCTCCTTCACCTCCAACTCCTCCTCCTGCTCCTCCTCTCCCTTCTCCTCCTCTTTCTCCTCCTCCACTATGTCCTCCTCCAGCTCCACCCCCTTCTCCTCCTCCTTCTGCTCCTCCCCCTGCTTCTCCTCCTCCTCCTCCTCCTCCAGCTCCTTCTCCTGCTCTTCCTCCTCCTCTGCCTCCTTTTCCTTCCTCTCCTCCTCCTCCTCTTCCACGTCCATCGGCTCTTTTGCTCCCTCCTCTGCTATCGTTGGCGTACACTGCGTTAGCAGTTTGAGAGACTGCTGCTTCGTGGAGCCAGTGTCTTGGCCCCGCGCCTGCAGCAACCCGTCGATGTACGCCTTGGTGATAACCTTGGTGTTGGGTTGCTGGTGCACCTTCGCTAGGGCATTACGGGAGCTTGCTAGAAGCTCGGTGGCCGACATGGCCGAGAAGTTGGGAAGTCCGGAGGCAGCTTGGCGAGAAGACATTGAAAGGAAGTGTGTGTTGAACGTGGGTGGTACAACAAAATGATCAAAACAGGTTGTTCGACGTTTTATAGGTAGTGCAGGTCTACAAAAAAGCTGTCCGCATTAAATTCTAATTGGAGGAACAGGAAACAGGTGGCGAAATTTCATGTGGTCTGGAGAGCTTTGAGATCTTCCCGAGGCGCATCGGGTTTGTTATTTGTCAACTTGCTTCTCGATGCGCATCGGGTTTTTTATTTGTCGACTTGCTTCCCGATGCGCATCGGGTTTTTTATTTGTCGACTCTTATCCCGATGCGCATCGGTTTTATTTTGTTGTCCTGTTTCCCGATGGTGTCGGGTGTTTAAAGTTGTCCTGTATTTTCCTCAACTCCACTGTTATTAGTTGTGAGCTCATTGGTCTGGAGTTCCAGAAACACAAAGTTCACCAATCCAGAAAAACCACATCTATCCGTTATGTGGCCGTTGGGAATCGGAGGTATCACACCAAATGTTTAAATACCTCTCCAGTGTCATTCAGTTGTTCTCCACCTCAATGAGCCACTCTCTCCCCACCAACACAGAGGTCCTCGCCTCTACCCTACTATCCCCAATCTTCGGCCAGTCCTTATGAGCCACAGCTCATACTCCAAGGAAGTGAGTTCTCTGAACTGCTGAAGAGCGGATCCCCAAAAAGCGTCGCCTGCTTGTCAGCAATGATCACATCAATACTGTTCTTGCATCATTCTGTTGTCGTAAGAAATGCCTTGATAACTTCTCCTTTGCTGACATTCTCAACATCACACAACCCTTTGCAGATCTCAATGAACGCGATCGCACCACCTACATCATCAACATCATGTCAGCCAGCTGTGTCTCAACACTACCTGAGTGCCACTTCAAGTTGCGACTCAATGGTTCTCCAGTGTGTTTGAATGCTTTCCAAAAGGTGCCAACCCTTTTTATTGCGGCCTTACATTTGTTATCCCACCTCACATTGCTGCTCTACAAGGTGCATGGTTTCAGCAGGAAGAAGTGGCGTTCTGCTAAACAGATTTTCATTTCTGGTGGGTGTGTCCCAATACACAACACCACTGGACAGCAACATCCCTCAAATGCCACCTCAAATACCCACTTATGGCTAACCACTTTCTTTGATGTTATTGGAGATCGCCTTCCTGATGCCACCATCCACTTACCTATTTCTTTGACTTGGCGAGAAGTGCACTCTATGTGTGCCAATGCTCATCCCTCAACTGTTCCTGTGCTCACCTATTCTGCTATGCTCAAACACATTGCTTCCCACTTTGCCTATGTGAAGTTGCCTAAGAACTCACGCCTTGGCAAGTGCTCTGCTTGCATTGACTTTGCACAGCAACGCTTGAGAGCCAAAAGCCCTCTTGAGGCAGCACAGTTTGCAAGTGCACGGACTCACCACCTTGCACTTTCTTCTGCAGAACGCCTCAGTTACAAGGACCGATGCCACCAAGCAACAAGTCAACCAAGTCTTTACATGAGCCTGATCATTGACTACTCCAACCCACTCCCTCTCCCCACCCACACTCCTGTGCCAAAGGCCTGGATGCACTTTGGCAACCGGTTCACCATGGTTCTTGGTGGTCTCATTGACCACAGCCATGGCAAACACCTCTTTCTACACCCTCAGCCCTTTTGGCCAAAAGATGCTAACCTTGTCATCTCCACACTCTTTCACCACATCCGAACTCGCATTTTGACTAACACCGCCTCCAACACTCGCCCTTCTATCCTCTACCTGCAGGCTGACAATTGTGCTGCTGAGAACAAGAATGTCTTCATGCTTGCCTTCCTCAGTCTCCTGGTCAGCCTGGATATGTTCCAAGAGGTCTACCTGAGCTTTCTGTTGGTTGGGCATACACATGAAGACATCGACCAGCTCTTCTCCACTGCTCAGACAAAGTTCCATACCTCTTCCATTCACACCCCAAGGTAATGGTCATCACTCTTTTTTTGTCTTGATTGTTTTCCCGATGCGCATCGGGTTTTTTATTTGTCGACTCATTACCCCGATGCACATCGGTTTTTTCTGTAAGCATTAATGATTGCCCCTTTTTGTTCACCTTCCTAACTTCATCTTCAAATTTCAGTCAACTTTCTGGTTTTCTTGAGCAGGCTTACCGATCCACCGGCCCAGCTCCTTCCCTGCACACCCTTGAAACTGTTTGGGACTGGAAGAGCTGGCTTGGAAATCACATGCATGGCCTGACTGGTCACTCCACCCCCCATGTTTTCCATTTTTTCCGTGATGCTTCAGGCAAACCAGTGATCCGGGACAAAGCCTACCACACCCAAGGAGCCTACTCTGAGCCATACCAGCTTCTCACATCCATTCCGACTGGTTTGCTCCTCACTATGTTGCACACACCCTACCAAAAGATATCACAACTTACACAAACCACATCAGGAGCACCTTTCACTATCCCGCCTCAGCAATTTCCGCCTGAAGTGCTTACTGAGTTGGCTGACAACTGCTGTGCTCCACTGTTCCTTGAGTCTGAGCTTAGTGAGTGGGCTGATATCTTTGAAGCACATGAGGCTCTTGTTTCAAGCTCCCAACCCACCTGCGATAACTTGATTTTTGATGGACTCACAGCTCACCCCATCACTAATCCTCTCCTTGATGGTCCATTGTTCCGTCTCCAAACCAGGGTCAAGGTTGTCCACACATGGACTACACCCCAAGTCCAACGTTTCAACTTTGCTCCTGGTCAGTGGGTTGCTGTCTGGGCTGATGCTGATGAAGACACTCAGGACTTTTGGATATGCAAGATCATCAGCGTTCTCCGTAAGAGGCTCCATGTCCACTGGTGGAACTTCGCTAATGGACGCTGGACTGACCATGGCTCAGAAAGCACTGTTCCAATGGGGTCTGTTTTAGCTTGTGGCTTTGACTTTAACGCCAACACTGGAGTTCCCCCACCCACCCTTCAAGAAATATTTAGACACCTGTAAATAAAACTTCTCTTCTCTGTGTACATTCAAATTCCACAGTGTTTTTATCTCATGTACACCTGTTTTTAGTTTCATTAAAAAGTACCACTGTCACCTTTTTCCGGACACAGTGTTTGCCACCACCACCAAGCAACTTGCCAGACTGGATCATGGCTTTGCTGTTGTTATTGTTGTTGTCATAGTCATTCAGCCATCCATCTGTCACCACCACCCCAAACCCCTCAGCCAGCGCTTGGGTGGCCCAACTGCTCATCTCACACCATCCCACACCCCACCAATACCTTTCAGACCAATCACCATCAAAGCGCCAGTCAACTGAACCCACTGTCACACCAAGCCCTCCATTCTTCAAGAGACCCAAGAAATAATCCCCACCATCCAACAGCCAATCACATGCCTGTTACCCAACACTAACACCAGTTACTCAACACTCTGACAAACAAATAATGATGGAGATGATGTTGTCATGATGTGACAGTGCAGCCTATACCAAAGCCACAGCTATGTTGTGTTGCACCACCATGAGGGCCACACTCAGCATTTCACAGTCAGGTCAGTAGTCCAAATGTTGCCCTCCAAGGTTGAAACCAGAGAAGGGTTATGTTGAATGAGAATACCAAACAATACAAGTATTGGTGGATGGTGAGTGGCTGGGTGCCACAATATGCAAGTGGAGAGCTTCTGGGACTCAAGCATGAGCTGTGGCCTAGCACGGAGGGTTGACGATTTGACTGCAAGATCCACACATCATCCTCACCACAACTTGGCCCATTACCTTCCCATTCTGCAGTGTGCCATGTGCTTGGCTGATTCAGCACCAAATTAGGCGGCGCGACCAAAACTACAGATCAAGCCATGCAGCGGGCGGATGCTGAAAACCACAAAGTCCAGTGGCAAACTTGGGAAGCCATTTTTTCTGCGTAGTTCCCTTAATCGCCACTGATATTCCCCTCGACCTAACTGTTGAGCCACGGCAGCCCCTGGGACCGCAACTTGTCCACTCACCACTCACCAACGATGGACACAGACTGCACAACTCACATTACACATGACTCATACGACGCACAACACGATGGCGCAGACAGGATCAGGATGCCAATCGTCAAGAGAGCCAGAGGCGGTAGAAGAGAGGTGATGTGCTTGGTGGACTTGATCAACACTGCGCTCAACAGGCACATCAAGAGCCCAGCCACATCCTGCCCTGTAGGTGCAGCCATGCAGCTGAGTTCCTCTGGGCCAGTGGGCGACGAACATGCAGAGGCCACACGACATGCTGGAGAAAATCTGTTGATGGCACTTGAGGGAGAGGGTACATAAAGCGCTTTTGCGTGGTTGTTGTTGCGATTACTCTCCAACACCCACACGCGATGACTACTCCTCCTAGGATAGCCAAGATAGTAGGCTTCAGGTTCAAACGTATGGAGAACAAAACAAGCAAAGAGGTGGTGGCGGGTGACAACACCAAGTGTACTAGCACTGATGCAAGGTGGCAGATCATGCATGGCTATTGCTACAACGACAAGAGGTCCCCTCCCCAGCGCGGCTACGGCTACCTCTTCACCTACGTACGTTACTGGGATATGCAACAGCGCGGAGGCCACGGCCTATGTGGTGGCTTCATTCTGAAGAAAAAGCCTAGCGACGGAGGAGGGACAAGCAAGAAGATCAATCGCTGGGGCAATTGTGAGGGGGAACCCCTACGCATTGCGCGCTTCACCTACAACCAACAGAACTACTTCGATCTCTACGCGTTCTTCGACGATAGGCCTGCACCCGTTCTCGGGTTTTGGAGGAAACAGCCGGGCAAAGGAGCCGAGCTGGTGGCGGGAGTCGACCAGGATGGGGTCCGTCACGCTTGGGGGACCCACATCAACGCCTGGGCCAGACCGGGGCACGACTGGACCCTACTGGGAGCCAACTATGTCTCCTTCTCCCTTGAGGTGTGTCTTGCCCAGTCGACTTGTGAGGAAGTGCTCGCCATCAACGTTGAAAAGCAGGAAAACGACCAAGGTGCGTCTGGCACCACCACCACCACCACCACCTATTAACCCTTCCCTGCAGGGCTCGTTGACGAGATCACGGTCTCCACCCATGAGGTCAACAACCAGAGCGACGACCCCCTCCAAAGAACGGTCAGCGAGGCGGTTAGCCTCCGGAACACTGCGACGATCAAGTGGGAAGGAGGGGTCAAGATTGGGGGCGAGGCCACGATCAAGGCGAAGGTGCCATTCTTCGTCGACGGCCATATCAAGTCCACACTCAAGTTACATGCGAGCCACAGCCGCGAGTACACCAACGAAACCATTCGAACGCTGACGCTTGTGGACGCGACCACCGTGAAGCCGTGGAGGGCGAAGAGATGCGATCACACTATCGTGGGAACTCTCACGACGGTGCTACACCACGACACCAAGACTCTATGGGAGGACATTACATCTCCTTCTTTGATAGGCGTCTGTCTCTTGCTGCTTGATCGGCTGTGTGTTCTAATTCGGCAAATACTCTTTAATAAATCTGGAGAATGATTCTGGTGTGTGCGCGATGTCTCCTTCTTCCTCTTCTTCTTCTGAACAAACTACTTCACGGGCGGTGGCTCGCTGTTTGGTGTGTTGGTAGTAGTTGCTCCATCCAAGAGGGACGTCTTCGGCGCCTACGCCCACTTCTGCTCCGCCCACCACTTCGAGTCCTCCTTCGGCAAGTTCCTCAAGAAGGTACCAACCCTTCTCCACTCACCACCTTCATCTTCTTCACGTGGGTGGGGTACCTAAGACCTGATAGAGATAACATCATTTCGCCTTTGCCGAGTACAATGCCTATGGTGACCCTGAGGCCCTTGCGCAAGTGGTGCTGTCGGGCGTTGATGTTGTGCTCGTGCCCCTGGACGCCACTGGCAGGCTTATCATCACCCAGGACTATCTCAACAGGATCGAGGCCAACCTCCGCACACCTGAGGCCTGTTGGGTCAACGCGCTCCTCCTTGTCCTCCAACAGCAGATGGGACCCGTCTTCAACGGCTACAGCCTCTGGGGCCCCATGCTGCCGCCATGCTCGTCGACCAGGACCACTACATCGCTGACATTGCCACTGTCCCCATCACCATCGTCACCCAGGCCATCAATGCCTCTGAGGCAGGCCGCACCATGCCCAACCTGCAGGGCACCCTGCTCCAAGTGGTCCTCTCGGCCAATGACGTCATCTTTGATGACCTCTTTGCCTATTACAATGCCCAAATGGGCAGGTCTCGCTGTCATATTTGCCACTGATGGGTTTACCCGACCGGCTCACTTGACATGCAACTCTTATACGACCACCTCGTTTCCACACACACAACGCGCAGTCGTCATGAGCGAGGTAATAAAAAAACCTGTGTTCAATGATGTCACAAGGTATGTGTGGCTCCCTCAGAGCCCCCAACCGCCGGCCACCATGGATGGCAGATAAGATCGCTCACGACTGAGACTGGCACTGACACCATATCCGCCAGCTGGAGAATGTGAAAACAAGCAATCCACCAATGACGGCCCGTCTCAACATCGCCATCCTGCTCTTGGTGCTGGCGAGCGCCGCCACTGCACACGGCGGCAGGCTTTGGGGCAACAATTTCCTACTCTACAGCGCGAACGCCGAGGACTATGCCAGGGTCGAGTTCACCACCGGCAACTACATCATCCGCTGCGCGGACAACATCAGCAAGGGCTTGGCAACTCGCTTTTACGGAGAGTCGGCGGCTATGTCCTCGTCCATGCGCTACAAACTTGACCTTCTCCCTCAATTGTGGCGATGACACAAACTACTGCGTGCCCCAGAACATGCCCGGCTGGTACGACGCCACGGTGTCGTGCACCACCTGGGAGTACCTGTTCGACGCCCACCGCCGCTTCCGCTTCCTCTCATATTGTCGTCTCCTTTGTGTATGTGTGTTAGCAATGAAAGGGACGCTCTTCAATCCAAAAACAAACAGACATTCGAACTCTTGGCTCCATCATGTACAAGAACCCCTTGAATTCGCTTTGGCCGGCGGATGCGGCGGTGACTCCTCAGACGATGGCCAAGGCCATGACGGGCAACCGCTCGACCTTGGCTTCGGTGTTGCAGCGCGTCGTCGGCTTGGATAGCGCCAGCCTGGCGCTTCTTTTGGAAGGCAGCCGCAATCCTAGAGGACCAAGGTGAGCACAAACTGTTCGACCTCAACAGGCTTGCAGGCGCGGCCAAGGGGGAGGACAGCCGCTTCGGCTGGGATGTTGTGGTGTTGGCCGACATATATGACGACGGCAAGTTGCCGCAAGTCGTAGCACCGGGCTACTTTGGCCAGGGTCCAGCGCTGCTCATCCCAAGGCAAACCGATGTGCTGGCGTGGCTCGAGGCGTTGGCCTCGGCCATGGAGGTGGCCGACCAGGCCGAGGCCATGTTGATGCAATTGGACGGCTTGGCCATGGACACCTCGTCGCATTCTTTGTCGGCCTTCAAGGACGCCATGGAATTGCTCGCAGAGGCACTCGACCGAGCCTTCGCGACACGCAACGGCGTGGCGCTCAACGCCGCGCTGCGCCACAGCGACATGTTTCTTGGCTGGGTCCGACTAAGAAACGGCGATGGGACACCGAGGAGGCCCAAAGTCGACGACTACGCCGACGAGGAGTGGAAGCGATTGTGCGAATCCTTGGTCGTCATACAACCGCGCCAGGCGGGCTGGGATCTCGACCCTTTGCGGCTGCTAGTGGCGGACTGGCTAAGCGCGCGCGACTCGAACGCGTTCAGCGACTTGTGGCGGTCTGCCGAGGACCCCAGGGACACCGAGTTCCACACAAGCATGGTGCGCTTCGTGATCGCCATGCAGGCTCTGGTCGCCAGTCTGCAAGTCGACTGTCGAATGGTGGAACGGCTCATGGACGCGGGACTCACGCGCGTGCAAGTCCACCGTTTCTTCAGCATCATCGAAGCCTGGATGCAAATCAACGCCTCACCACACCACCCGCTGTCCTACATCCAGACCGAGACGCAGTCAAAGTGGATTGACGAGTTTCATTCCTGCAAGCGCAGCCCCTTGGCCATCTACCTGGCCCAGGACCAACCGGCCCATGTGTCGGAGGAGGCGTGGCAGGCCCTCGAGCTCGCCCAGCGTCTCCAGTCTGACATTGTTGAGCGCTTTGCGTCCAAACTGCAACGCTCGTACTCGATCCTGTTCCTCTTTGACGACGATCCGGGCACCAACTCCTCCCGCTCATCTGACGACGACTACAGCAGCGAGGACGAAGAGGAAGAGGATGACGACGAGCCATCAGAGTTTGTTGACTGATCACAAAGCCACGACATAGCATTCCTCCCATCGCTCTTCTCCGCACGTTGGGCGCACATCATCATCATCATCTTGTCTTGTGGTTTGGACTTCGTCCACCCAACTAGTAAACCACACCTCCTTGCGAAAAAACTCTCGCCGTCACCACCTTCCATCCACAGAAACGCAGAATGATGATGCAGAGGCAACAGCAACAGCAACAGCAACAGCAGCGCCAGCGCCAGCAAAAGCCACCGCAGCAATATGGCTCCTACACCGCGCAGGGCCAAGGGCAGCAGACCCAGTTTGGGCCGGCGACGCGCATCAGCCTCATGCCCTATGCCCAGCGGCGAGGAGCCGACGGCCAACCCGAATTTGTCGTCCTGCTGGGCTACGAAGTGGAGATGGGCGCGCCGACTCCCTTCACTGCCGGCAATGGCCATTGGTCCGACTTTGGCATCGTCGGTGCCGATCCCACCACCTCCAACGCCCTGACCGAGGCCGCCAACGCGGGCGCTCAGCAGACCATGTTCTTGCTGGGGACGCCGAGCACGCTTGCCGGCGCGCTCCAGCAGGTGGCCGCCGAGGTCAAGGCCAGCAACGGCGACCTCATCTACCTGGTGCCGTTCGAGTACGACGCCAACCTGCCCAAATACTTTAGCCGGGTGCGCTCCTACATGCAGACCCAGTCGACCGGTCCATCGGGCCAGGAGTTCGAGACGACCAAATTGGCGTGGATGCCCACGGCCAGCCTCTACGACGCCGCCAGGTGCGCGCCCAGCACCGTCCAGGGCTCCAGCGCGCGCTCTGCCCTCACCAGCGATTTCATCAACTTTACCCTGCCGGCCGTGATCAACCGCCTGCCCAACCTGTTCCCCAACAGCGGGGCGGCTCCCGATTGCGGCGCGGCCTTTACTGGCGGCGTCGACCTCGGCACCTACTAGGGCCTCTTTGTACCATTGTGGTTTTACTTGCTTGTCAACAAAGTCTGCTTCCTTTTGGGACGAGTTCGCATTTATGTACATGACAGTGCAGTGGGAAGGAGGCCGACTCCGCTCGGTAGGTCATGCGAGGCTCTCGGGACAAGACAGCATGGATTGGATGACCAAGGCGGCGGCGTCAACCTCTGCGAAGGACACCACCTCCAGAGCCACGGCGACGTCCACCGTGAGACCTAGCCGGTCGACCACCGTGAGACCTAGCCGGTCGACTCACCGCTGAGATGCCCTGCAAGTGCGACCACATGAACTTGATCTGCATTGAAATGATCATCGCCAAGATCCTGTGTGCTTTTCCTTCTCTTCTTCCAGCTTTGCGAGCAACTGCGAATGCAGACATCAGCAACAAGCCCGCAGAGTTGAAAGGAAACAAACGTACCTGGGCTTGGCGTTGGTGACTCTCCTCGAGAGCTTGGAGCCGCAGCAGAAGAGGACGTGTGGGCAGCAGGGGGCACCTCGAGCGATGTTCCTCGAGGAGGCTCTGCGGGGCGTGGAAATCGCAACCGACGTCGACTGCAGGGCAGTTCACAGGTTTGGCGGGGCAAACCAAGCGATGTTCGACGTCGTCGACCGGCGCAACCCTTCTGCCACACCCTAAGCTGAAGGCTTTTTTTTGGGGGGGAGGGAGGGAGTAAGGGACGAGTGGCATAGATGGGGGTGCGTGGGCAACGTACGCAATGGGCAACCGGGTAAATGATTATGGAGGTCCTTGCGTTGAAAGTGTTTGCGGCAGAGGGGGCAAACAACGAGGAGGGCATCGAGCGTGTTCGTGATGAACCGAGGCGGACAACGGCCGCGATGGACGCATCTTGCCGACAGTGCGGGCACGATGCAGATTGCGACAGCCAGCCCCTGAGACAGCCGCGGCAAAACATCTGGCGGCAGCTTGGTTCGACGACCGGGTCGAGGAGAGGCTCGTGGCAGATGCTGCACACGAGCTTGTTGTCCACTGGCTTTAATTCCACGTAGGAAAACGTTGCCAAGCATAGGGCCTTTTGCAGTGGCTCGTCCATGGCGGCAGGATGAAGAAAACAAACTTCTTGGTGTCGAAAGAAAAATTTCTTCATTATCATTCCCTCAGCGTCAGCTGAAAACACATGATATTTCATTGGGTGAATAGCATCATCCTGTACACATCACCTCCTCCTATCTCTAACCTCACCCTCTCCCATCCCCTCCCTGGCTGCCTGGTGCCCGCGATGCCGAATGCTCCGGCAGAGAATGCCAGAGAGCGGTGCCGATGGTGGACCCTGCGCACACAAACAACGACACGGGCGGGCGGGCGGGACCTGACGCTCAGAGAAAGAAAAAACATGCTGAACACGTCCCTCCACCAGCGTTTTGTCGCCCTCGTCAATTGCCACTCCTGTCAATTGACAGCGACAAACGCACCACGGCACGCACTCCGTGCCGCTCCCGGAAATATCCTGATATTTCCGCTGCGCCCACCGCTCGTGATAATGCAAGTTACTGCTGCGCAGTAACTGCTCATTATCACTCCCTCGGCGTCAGCTGAAAACACATGATATTTCATTGGGTGCCTAACAGAGAGTCGGTCAGCGAACCCGACCTCCCAGGTCGCACCACCAAAAAACTGAGAAAAAACAACCACTTGTATTTTCTCGAGCGTCACCACCGTGACGACGACAAGGTCGCCTGCAGCACCTACACGCGCTACAGGCCCATGCGCCGCGAGACCGCCATACTCGGCAGCTCGCGCGCCCGCAGGTAGCTGTTGACGGCGTCGCTCCGCCACCCGCCAATGGTCATGACCTGCTCCCTCGTCATGCCACCCTCGACGGCGGCCGTTGCGCCGCCGATGCGCAGAGAGTGCGACGAGACCTGCGCGCTGAGCCCGGCCGCCGCGACCATGCGCTGGCACACCGCGCTGATCGCGCTCGACGACATCACACCGCCGCCGACTGTCGTGAAGAGCAGGCCAGGCGCACGGCCCCTCCACTGGACGAACAGCCGGAACAGCCGCACCGGGCACGTAGCACGCCCTGTCGGCTCGATGAACACCAGCTGGCCCTTGCCGAGCTGGTCGTTCTTGGCCTTGCGAATGCACACGCGCAGCCCGCCGTCGCCAAGCTCGACGTCCTCCAGGCAAAGCCCCGCCAGCTCCGACGCCCGTCGCATCGCTCGCAAGCCGAGCGCCACGAGGAATGCATCGCGCTCCCACGTGTCGCCACGCCTCCGGCTCGCGACCCACGCCCGCAAGGCCGCCACCGGAAACGGATCACGACGCCGCCGCACAGCTCTCCGGCTCCACTCGCGCACCACGCCGGCGACCAGATCCCGCATACGCGCGCTCTTGCACGGATCCGCATGACCCGCCCACGTGTGACGCATCGAGACCGCCGCCACTGCCGCACGAACTCCACTGCCCCGCCCAGCCACCTCAAGGGCCACAATGAAGCACTCCACCATCACCTCCACCGCCGGCAACGGGCAGGCATCCCATGCCAGCACGAAGGCTCAAAACTTGTCCCACCACCTATCGTACACGCGCATGGTCGACGGCGCCCTGTGTGAACGTGTGCCCTGTGTGAACGTGTCCACGGCCTCTGTGCCTGGACAGCTGAACAGGCTGTTGAAACGAGGAGCCTTGGCGTTCAGGTTGTTGGTGAAGCGGTCGAGTCCCAGCCCCCGAACTGCTGCTCCAGCTCGGCGACAGTGTCCCAGGAGAGCTCCCAATCGTCGGTGTCGGAGTAGCGCGACAGCCAATCGGCCTCCCTGTTGTCCGTGCTCCCACGAATCCACCGCGCGTTGTAGACTCCACAACCCTCGGCCGCCGCCCTCAGCCACACGCGCCGCACGACGTCGGTCATCCACGGATCGGGGCCACCACCATCGCGCAGGTACGCGACCACCATGACGTTGTCGCTTTCGAATTCGACCCACCGGCCGGCAACGTAGTGCCCCAGCGTATCGACGGCTAGCTCGACTGGTTTCATCTCCTTGTGGTGGATTGGCCACGCCAGTTTGTCTGCTGCGAACGCGCCACGCGCCTGGAGGCTGACAAAGGTCGAGGCGCTCAATGGCCTGTGCCTGCGCAACGTGTGCGACCACCGGACCACGACGAGCGCCAGCACCTCCGCACACTGGGTCGGCTCCCACTCGCCCTTGGTGGGCTCGCGCAGCCACCTGAGCTGGTCCAGTGTCGGGGTAATGACCGTGTCGCGGATCCGCCGCAGGGCCTCGCAGTCCGGCGCCATCACGACGAAATCGTCCAGGTAGGACGTCACGACGATGCCCTGACGCCGCCAGTCCCGCACCATGGCGCGCACCACTTTCGTGAACACCCACGGCGAGATTCGTAGGCCGAAGGGGAGGACGCGGTAGCGGAACCAGCGGTCGCCCACCCGGAAGCCCAGCAGCTGGCACGACTCTTCCTCCACCAGGAGGTGGTGGTAGCCTTGCGCTAGATCGAAAGTGATCATCCACCACCCCCTCCCGGCCACTCGGGCCACCGACGACAGCCCTTCGAACCGCACCCTCCGCTCGGCTATCCCCAAGTTGATGCGGCGCATGTCGATGACCAGCCGCCATTTTTTCGGTCCCTTCTTCGGCACGCAGAACACCGGCGACACGTAGCGAATGCCGGCAGGTTTGGACGGGCCGATGCCCATGAGCTCCGCCGCTCCTGTGGCGACCAGGCGTTCCACCTCGGCGAGCAGCCAGGTCTGCTGCGCTGGGGTCGCCGGGAAGATGCGCCGGTCCTCCGAGACCTCGGCCCGCAACTCGAACGCCACGCCGTGGGCAATCCACGAACGGACCTGGTCGGATGCCCCGATCTGGGCCCACGCCGCTGCCCGAGCTTGCAGGCGGCCGACCACCGACAGCTCTGCCGGATCCGTCACTGGCACCACGCCCGCCCCAGGGGTGCCCAGGTGGCGTGGACTGGTCTCGCCCAGTCCGTCGCTCTCGTAGTGCTCGTCCCACCCGGGCTCCCGCCGGCGCCGCGTCGAGAGCGGCACTGGCCCCTCCCCCTGCAGCAGCCCCTCCTCACCATCCACCTCCACCGACTCGCTCTCCGGCCACCACTCGTCCTCCCCCTCCTCCTCGCTGTCGCTTTCATCCTCGATCAGCGCCGGCAGGTCGCCCAGATTGTCCTCCTGCTCCTCCACCACTGCCGTCTCCTCCACGCAGACGCTTCCCCAACACCCGTCCACCGGCTCGCTCAATGGGGGCAGGCTCACGCAGCCGGCCGATCCCATTTCTTGGGACACTCCTTGGCGTAGTGGCTGCCACCGCACACGTAACAGGTGACGCTCCTCCCCGCCGGTCGCTGGCTCCGCGGCTCCGCCGTTGAAGCAGGGGGGTCCCCGGTCGCGGGCACGCCACGGTCGTCCCTGGCAGGTGCGGGATATCTCGTACCCCCGCGACTGCGCCCCGCCCGGCCTGACCGAAAAAGCGAGTCCGCCGGGGCCACCTTACGGACCTTCTTGCGGCTCTCGGCCTTCTTCCGAGCCTCGGCGAGCTTGTCCTGCCGCCCGGCGATGAAGCTGCCCTCGTCCTCTTCGAGGCAGCCTGCCGTCTCCCAGCCCTCCTCCTCGCCCACAACGACAATGTGGGCACGGCGCTCGATGTCCTCCTGGAGCTCCACGATCAGCTTGAGGACCTCGCCAGGCGCGTCACGGTCGACCGCCATGACCTTCCGCCCGATCTTCTTGAGAAAATCGTACTCGTGTTGACCGCGCGCTGTAGTAAGACTACGATCAGGGAACCAGACCGCCGCCTTAGCCAGGCGCCGAAAACCGTGCACCTCACGCACCGCGGCAAGCATGGCCGCCGCCACACCAGCCCGCCCCGGCGACAAGCCCTGGCCAGCCACATCCTCGCTGAACTCGCCACCACTTCTGCCACCACTGTCTTCATCCTCCTCATCCTCATCATCGTCGTCCTCCTCTTCGGCGGTCGCAGGATCGCGCTCGATGTTCTCGCGGGCCATGTGGAGGCGTGCGGCGTCGAAACGTTCCTTGGTGGTGCTGGGCATGGCTAAAACAAAAAAAATTGGGCGCTGGTTTTCGTTCGTTTTATGTCATTCCCCCACCCAGCAGACAATGGGTGATCTCGAGCGCGTTGAGTTTGATCCCGAGACCGGTTGTGCTAAACTCCTGGGTGCCAACCTCAAGTTCAGGGTGCGCCGACCGCTTGGGCTGTCAACGCCACCTGAACCCACCCCACTGACGCGAATGGCACTGGATCTCTCGGATCCTCCGGATGGATGGATGGATCTGATCTTGGGCATCGAACGAAACGCCAAAAAATGGATCTCCTTGGGATGGCGCCCAGGACGCAATGACGACGACGACGCCCTCGATGGTTGTGCGATGCTCTTCCAACATGAGGATCCCCGTCAAGAAGCGCCGCTCAACCAAGAATAAGAGCGAGTAAGTAGTTCTATTGAATACACTCTGATTTATGCACCCTCCAATGTGATTGTTGGCACTTTCTGTCGCAGTACCGACGTTTCATGCATCGCGAGCACGTGAGCAGCTTGCGGGGCGTGCCCCCGCAGGCGGCGCATCGGAGGCGTGCAAGAACACACTCGTCGTTTCCGTGGGCGAGTCTCGCCTGATCCTCGGCGAGCATCTTGATAATTGATGAGTCGTCGACCACGAGATACCCAGTGTCGGTCGTAACGACACGATCCTCAACATCTTTGACGAGGCATGTCACCACTTCGGATCCGGGTGGGCCAACGTGGATGGACACAACATCGTGCGTGTTCAATCCCTCCCTGATTTGCGTCAGGTCTCGCTTGGATACGACAATGAACCGCACCGTCTCCTCCATGTGCACGCTTTGTGAGAAAAATGTATAATGGAGCATTGTTTTTAAGCCTCCAGTTTGATAGCCGTCCATATTGTGGCGATGGCAAAGGCCACAGTCCATCGACCCCTCGGGCGCCATGATCGATGTCTTTTTTTATTCATCATCCTCGTCCCTCGTCACACGGCGCACTCGTACCTTGGTCTTGGGGCCGATGTTGCGCAGCGCGCGTTCCATGGCGTCGATCTCGTCGTCGCCCACGTTGTTGCCACCCTGCGCGCCAAACTCATCAGCGTCACCATCGGCGGGGGCGTCACGTACCTCGTCATTGTCCATCTCGTCCTCTCCAATGCCGGCCGTGGCGCCGAACGCCCAGAAGGGCGCACCGCCCATCTTGAAGGGGCTCTCGGCCAGATCGTAGTCGGCCTTGAAACGCGCGAACGAGTCGCTAATGCGCGATGAGCTGTTGTTCTTGTTGTCGATGACCAAGCAGCTGTAGTCGAGCGTGGCCGCGTCCATGATCTGGTTGAACACGCGGGCGTTGGGCACTGAGCTGCCCCAGTTCTTGTAGATCTTCTCGCGCAACACGCCCGACTTCGCCTTGGTGAGGAAGATGTAGTTGGCGTTACTGCGCATGGCGGGCTGCACGTCCATCATCTGACAAAGAAGGGTTAGTCACTAAACACACAATGGTGGTCGCTCGCGCCGGCGATGACGACGGCGTCGTTTGGTTTCCTGGATGGATTCCTCAAGGCCATGAAGACTGAGAACAGGTTCGCACCATCGGCCGTCCCGCCTCCGCCCCGCCAGATGGCCGCCGATTCGATGGCGCGACGCGGCTTGGCGATGAGCGCGGGATCGCTGAGGAACACCGTCCCGGCTTCGTCGATGAGCTCGCCGACGATCTTGCGCTTGGTCGGCAGCGTCGCCATGAGCGCCGGCGACACGGATCCGGCGCCCTGCTGGAGCCGCACCGAGGTGAGCACCACGCCTGCGCCAAGAAGAAGGTCTTGAAGGCCGTGCTGAGTTCCGGCAGCTGCCCGATGATGCGATCCAGCGAATCGGCGTGTTCGCTCAGATCGAGCGCTTCGACGGCGCGCGCAAAGTGATCGATGGGGTCGACCACGTCGCCCGATTCGGCCATCACGGCTTCGGCATAGTTGAGACATGAACGGTAGATGGAGAGGAAGAAATCGGTCAGCAGCGGGGCGATCTTGACCGCCAGATGATCCTGCCGCAGCTGACTCGTGATGGCAAAATCCTGGACGGTCTGAATGCGCTGCTTAGGGGGCGCCGATGACATGGTTGTTGTCACGTGCGACAGCAAAATTCGCGCGTCTCCCGTGCGCACACTGCATTGCGCGGATGCCCTAATACCGAACGAAAAAAAGAAAGAGCAATGGAGCAGCCACCGTCGGCGCCCGTGTTTCCGCTCTCGTTCTATCGCGATTCGCTGTTTGGCGATGACGACAACAAGGTCGGCGACATCTACCTTGAGACCGTCGACAGCGACATTGAAGATGAAGCTGAAGAGGAGACCGAGACCGAGATCGAGGTGAGGCATGACAACAACGACGACAACGACGAGGGCAAGGCGAAAGACGAGGACGAGCCCGAGGCGGGGGAAAACGACGACGACGGCGATGGGGAGGGGGACGATGACGAGGATCACGAGGGGTGCGCCCGCAAGCGCCGACGCCGTGAGGCCGAGGCGATTATCGACGATTCGTGGACGGCCTCATTGGATCCTGCCTCGAGCGCCAAGAAGCGTCGCGCCGATGCCATCGCTGCCCTCATGCGCGAGGACGTCGTCGTGCCGTCTGCCTCGTCCGGCGCCAGGAGACCACGACGGCGCGCGCCACGCCGCAAGTGATACACCGCGCAGTGCGTTGTCATCATCTTGTCTCACCCTTGGTCTATTAAAGCGAACATGCCACCCAAGAAAGCGACCACCACCACCACCACCACCAAAACGGCACCAGTGAAGCGCGCTGCGCCCAAGGCAGCGGCGGCGACCGCGCGTCCCTCCAAGGTCGCCAGGAAGGTCGCCACCACCGCGACCACAAAGAAACCAGCCGTACCCAAAAAGGTTGCCACCGCAACGAAGCCGGTTGCGCCCAAAAAGACCACCACCGCGAAAAAACCGGCCATGGTCGCGTAGCGCACCATCAAACCGGTCGAACGGTACAACGACGCCAAGTACCCAGAGGACAAGGATCTCAGCGATAACGAGTGGGGATCGGATCTCAAGGAGGGCAGCAGCGAGTCCAACGACTATGACGAGGAGGATTCCTTTATTGACACCTCCAAGGAGGAGTGCGTCAGCGACAGCGGCGAGGAGGACTGCGGCATCATCTACAACGACGAGGACGACGACGAGGAGGAGCTCTCCTTCTCCAACAATACAACGTCCAACAGCGACGACGAGTGATGCTCCTCACTGTCCTCATCCACTGCCTGGCGCTCAGCCACTTGCCCTCCCTTCCGGGCGCCCAGCCACTGGCCCTCCATGCAATCGAGCGCGTCGTCGGTGGTCGACCGGCGCCGCTTCGGCGACGATCCATCCTCATAGCCATGTTCAGGTCCCACGTAGCTGCGCGCCGCCAGAACAAGCGTGATCCGGCCGTTTCGCATGATGGGCCGATTGACCTCGCGCGCGCCATGCTTGTTATCCTTACGCAGTGCATTATAAACGTAATCGATCTTGCCCAGCACCTCCAGTGGCAGACTCCACAGCGTTCTGTTGCCGTCGGTGATCCGGGCGTGCACGTCGAACAGCATCTGGCGCTCGGCGGCGCCAAACACGTTGTCGCCGTCGTCGCCGTTGGTCTTGCTGAAATACTTGTGGAGGAACTCCCATCCCTGCACCACGGCGAACACCAGCGTCCCGATGGATGCGAGCGCCGAGACGACCACAAGCGCCAGCACCGTGTCTTCCATGGCCATTCTTTTGTCGTTGTTTGTGTGCGGCCCCAATGCGCACTGCGATCGAGGAAGGGGCAAGCTCACAGATGTGCCTGGTTTTTATTACTGGTATCGCACTGGCACGGGCACCAGCGGGTTGTTCTGGAAGGCTGCCAGCATGGACGCATCGGGCAGAGTGCTCGTTGACACGGTGCGTTCGTGCACGTCGTAGAGCGTGAGCGGCTCGGATCCGATAGGTGCCCAGCGCGACATGCCGGCGCCGCCCGCATGCGTGAACTCCGAGTAGGTGTCGCGGTTTGTGTGGTCGAGGTAGCGCGGGTTGATGTTCTCGTCGGTGACGGTGCCGTGGGCGCGCACACCGTTGCCCAGATGCGAGATGCCCTCGCGTCCGCCGAGCGATTTGATCATGTCGCCACTGCTGGCCACCATCGCTGCCGAATACAGGGCCGGATCGCCGTACGCGCCGTTGCCCGGAGCGGCCACGGAGGAGTGATCTGTGGCCTGCTTGATGGAGGCCTCGGTGGTGAACGGCATGAGCACGTTGCGCACAGCGCCGCCGTTGGGATCGCCCGCGTGACCGTAGCCGGCGTAGGCGGTCTCGGTGGCCTGTTTGAGCGCGAACGGGTTGATAAAGACCTCGGTGTTGTAGTAGGCGTTGTGCCCGCGCTCGTTGTAGGCGCCCGTCATGCCCGTCGGCATCGCCTGGCCGGCGGCGTAGAGCTTGACGGATCCGTCGGTGGTGAACGGCATGAGCACGTTGTGGATCGCCGGCATGTTGTTGAGCGCCATACCCTGACCGGCCGCGGTCGCAACAGAAGCCGCCAGTTTCTGGGTGTTGTTGTAGGTGAACACGTCGGTCATGTTGTGTGCGGCCGCGAGGCTGCCGCCTGTGGCGTCGGCGAAGGCGTTACCAACGCGTCTCGCTCCGGCCGTAAGCTCCTTCATCACCGGGATGCTGATGACGCTGTCGCGGCTCATAGCACCGGGCCCCACCGATCGCACGCGGCTCGCCGGAGCACCGTAGTGATGGATGTTGACGCGATCCTGGTAGGCGCGCAGGGTGAGCGCGTTGCCGCGCATCGCTTCCTTGGCCGCATCCGCGCCGCGATCGGGTCGGTTGAACTGGAGCGGGTTGAAGATCTCGGCACGGTGATCGGCGTCGACGTTGCGTTCGCGCACGGCCTCTGAGTGCTGGAGCGCGGCGTGGGCGACACCCGAGGCCGCCCGTGAGATCTCGTGCCGGAGCGGATGGCGCACCTCGCCGTGCACGTGCGGACCCTTACTGATACCGGAGCTTCGCTCAGCCGCGCGGTGTGCATCGCGAACCGACGCGTTGCGCGCCTCGGTGAAGAATCCAAACGGCGCCACGCGATCCGCGCTGCGTTGGTGGCCGGCGAGATCGGCGCCACCCTCGCGGTATTCGATCGGCACCGAGCGTTGGGGCGCATAGATGAACGGCCGGAACGCCGACGTGATGCGCTCGTGACCGTCGCTGAACATGTCACCGTTGGCGTATTCCTGACCCTCGTCGCTGCGTCGATAATGCGCTGCCCCGTGGATCATCTGCTCGCGCGCTCGATCGCCAATGTTGAGCGTGACTGGGCGATCGTGATTGCGCTGGGCCTCACCGTAGACATCCTCCCACGCGTTGGTGGTCTTCTCCGGACGAAACAGTTCGGGATCCAGCGGATAGAGTGGGATGTAGGCACCGCCGCGGCGCAAGGTCGGTCCCATCTCGGGCGGGAATTCGTCCCACAGCGCGCCGGCCTCACTTGATGCGCGAAGATCGTACCGGCGCGGATCCTCGTCGAACGTGATCAGCGGTGCCGCTTCGTCGGCCGCGTATTGCTGCTGCTCGCCATCCGGGCGTGATCGGTTACGGTACAGATCCTCACTCCAGGTATGATCGATGTAGTTGCGCGGCACCACGCGTTCGTTGAAGACGTCGAACGCCGATGCCCCGGATCCTGTGTCAAAAAGCTCAGACATGATTCGTTCGCTTCTACGACAGCCAATGAACAAAAATGTCGCCGAACCAACGACACGCCACGCACATAAAAAGCGGCCACGCACACCATTCCACCGCCACCACCCAACGATCGGCAATGATGAAGCACCACGACGCCGCCGGCCCCGACACCAAGACCACCCTCAGCGTCAATCAACTCATATTTGCGGAGAAGGGGAGCGATGAAGACTGGGCGACCATCGGAGAGGGATCTCCCCCGATTGGCGCCGTGGGCTACGTCACGTTTGATCGCGGGCCTCTGTTCAACCTGTTCGTGGTTGTCGGACGCGATGAGGCCGCACGGACCGTCGACGCCGTCTTTCCGCGCCTCCGCCTGTCGAAGGACGGCGAGATCGAGCTGGGCGCCGACAAGACCACCGAAGATCCGACGCTGTATGCCCGCCGATCTGTCAAGGCTGCTCGTTTGTCTGCAGCTGCGGTGCTGCCGACATCATCAACCAACGCTACGCCGTCGACTTCAAAAGCGTCCCGATCGACAATGCGCCATCCACAGGTTTGGATTCGACTGGCACTATTGCTACGTCCCCATGCCCAAGAGCAAGCTCTTGTGGCTCTTTCCACCGAAACGATGGTAGTGGGGGCTCGGTGGCTCATGGGTTGCCCTTCTTGGGTTCCTGGTGCGGAGATCGCACGCGCGACCGCAAGTCGAGTGTGTTGGACCCGTAGAGCTTGCCTGCGACCAGCCAAGTGACAACCCATCAACGATTGAATGGCAGAGAGCGCTGAAAAACAAGCGCTGTGCGGTGTGTGTGTGTGTGAGTGCCTGCACGAACCTTGGGCGCGAGGGTTGCGTAGCTTGGCCATCACCTCCGCCGTCGACCCAGTGTTTGTACTCCACCCAGTGCTGCACACAGAACGAACACAAGAAGGGACGCTTGGTCAGCGCGCCACCACAAGCCACAAGCCCAAGCGTCTGTCGTCGAGCGCTGTAGGTGAGACGGGGCGAGTGCAGCGGTGTGCAACCTGAGGATCCTTGAGCGTGCAAAAGTGTCTGTTGGAGCAGAGGGGGCGGTCCTCTTTCAACGTCGCGTCCCAGTTGCTCGTGGACGACGGCGACTGCGTCTCGACTGCCATACGGGTCCAAGATTGAGGAATGACACATGACGACACGGCACGACACGACCAACGACACGATACACGCACCACTGGGTCTGCTGGGAGGAAGTGGTGATGTCGGTTGCCTGGTGGCAAACACGTTTTGAGGCACCGCTGGCGACGCTCGGGTGGTGATCCCGAGGCTCGACGACGAAAGCGTGGGCGACGGCTGCTGCGGCTTCTCTGGCCGAGGCGGCACTGTAGGCGCCGATCGCTCACGACTGCTGCCACCACCGGTGGGGCTCAGTGGAGGCGGAGAGGGCATGAGTGGCGACGGCGATGGCGGCGAGGCGGTTCGCATGGCGAGCGACAAGAGGGAGGGCGATGACGTCGTCGTCACAGGCGCCGCTTCGCGCTTGAGCGTGGGCGGCGATGGCGGTGAGTTGTCGGCAGAAAAAATCGCCTGCGGGTCGGTGATGATAAGCGGCGCAGGCCGCGGTCGGCGCAGGGTCGACCCCTTGGCGCCTCCGCCGACGGTGGATGTGGTGGGTGGCGACGTGCTGAGCTTGCCCGGCGGCGGCAGGTCCGAGTACGAACGTGAGGCGCGAGTGGGCGAGGGCGAGGGCGAAAGCGATAAGGACATCATCGAGGACAGCAGCGGCGGCGAGCCCAGAAACGACCGCTGAGTCGTGGGCTGCTCTGACGGTTCGCCGGCGGCCGTTCGGCCTTTGCGACGGATCGTGATCGTCGACGCGCTCGTGGAGATGAACGGCAGCTTGAACTCATTACGGACCCCTAACTCGGCAGTGCGTGGGTGGTGAGATCACAGGGACATGTCAGCGGGCGGGTGGTGGCCAACCTTGGGCCTCGGGGTGCTTGGCGATGTAGTCGTCGATGCACTGTTGCAGATCGCGCATCCAGTTGCTCTTCTCCTGCCAATCCAAAGCGTGTGTGTGTCGACACAAAAATCGAAGACCGGCGTGGGTTGCTGACGTCAACGTACCTGGAGGGTGCCCTTCTTGGGGAAGAAGATCCAGGCCTTCTTGGGGCCCACGATGTAGAACAGATTTTTGTACATCTTGGGCAGGTCTTGTGTGATAGAACAACAACCACAGTGTCAGTGGTCGTGTGAGCTGGTACGTGTGAGGGAGAGGGTGTGTGGTTGTGTGAGAGGGGGGGCCACCTGGCAGCGAATTGTCTGGAATGTCCTGAAGCCACAATCCCTTCATCGGAATGTTCACCTTCCACTTGTACGACCGGATGTGCCCAAAGCTCTTCATGAACAACACAACACACACGACACACGGCACATGGCACACGACACGATCAACGACGCGACCAACGACACGGCACACGGCACACAAGGCATACGTTAGCTGGCGCGGCTCGCTCAGAGGTGATGGTGGGGTTGTGTGGATGGAGTGTACCTTTTCGGCAACGAGCAGCAGATCGTTGAAGAGAAACATCTGCAGTCGGTCGGTCACCTTGGGCCCCTGCCCCTTGATCCGGCGAAACTTGCCCTCTTTCTTGAACACGCAGCTCGAGTCCAACAATTGCTGTTGTCGCCCACATCGCAACAACCAGCCAGCCAGTCAGCCAATGGCCACGTTCGGGTTAATCCACCAGCCAATCACGAGAGATTAGATCTCAGACTGATGGGCTGACAGCGGCATACCGTGATGTCCGCGCCCAAGTGCCGCTGTATGCGTAGGATGACCGAGTTGGTCAACGCCATCTGCATGCTGTTGTTGACATAGTCCGCGACCTGCGATCCACACGCAGCACGCACGCTCGCTCACTGCTCTCACTAACTCACTCAGACATATAGACAAGCGTTGCTCCCTATGATGCAAACCTGTTGAAATGCGGACATGGGCCTGGCTCAGGTTTTGATGGTCGGGATGCGTCTCGTCCGTGTGTCTGAGCAGGTCCTGGCATGACCGAAAGTCTCGGAGTTAGCCCGCCGACAAGCATGCCCCACTGGTGTGTGCGTGTGCTCACCTGAATGAGAAGCGTGTAGCGAGGAATTCTCTGCACCGGCATGATGAGATACGACGACAGACTCAAACCCTTGGCCTCTGGAAAGCCGCTGCAGATCTGCATGGTGTGATCCCACGCCATCACGCCAAGATCTCGGAGTTAAACACGCTTGGTCCAAGTAGTTGCTCGAGCCCGTGGAGTGGCGTGTGCCTGAATGAAATGGGCGAGAGCGGACGTGGACGCTTGCAAGCGGTCGAGGTAGCTCACGGCATAGTCGTAGTTACGGCAGTACTCGCTGTAGCCCTTCAAATGTGGGCTCTTAACGTGCCACACACCGCACACACCGCACGCACGCACCACACACGCACACGGAGCACGCACAAGACGGATGGGTGAGAATGTGCAACGAGAGTGTTCATTCGGCAACATGAGGATGGGTGAGAAGGCAACCATCTGAAGGAACACGTCGCCAATGGTCTGGCGCTGTGACCAGTTTTTGTAGCGCTGCTCGAGGTTCTTCAACAGTTCCTGGTTCACAGCCAGCAGCGCTTCCACGATCGAGAATATCTGCGCTCGTATGTTGGATCACACGTGTGGTGCGCGCGCTCCTGTGTGCGTGTGTGCGTGGTGTCGTGTGTCGTGTGCGTCTATGGCCTGTGAAGCGAACCTGAGTGAGGGATTGTGTGTCGATGACCGGAGAAGGCCCCGACAGAGCGCTGCGGAGAGGATTCAGGAAAACCTGAAGCAGCGACCGTGCCCAACACACCGCCCGACCCACCAACGTTGGTGAATACATTTTCCATTGGTGGATATGTGTGTGAGGGGCTGGGGTACCCCGACGATGACGTGCAGGCCCTGCACGTATGTGCGCTCGGTGTCCGGAGTATTTCGCCCACGATTTGTGTTCGCTTGCGTGCTCTCTTCACTGCAAGCATAAAAAGAGAATTAAAAAAGATAATCTAAATAGAAAAAAAATTCGCGTCTTTAATTCAAAAAAAAAAAGAAAAGAAGGGCGAGTACACATGGGGGCGTATCGCTGTCGGGCGAGGTATCCCCGCACCACCGCCTGCGCTCTCACAATCTCTCGCGAGCCAGCGTTCATCTTGGCTGTGTTTTTGTTTTGTGGCCCACCCACTCGCCCAATCCCAAATTGTTCGGTAAGCTTGTGGAATGCAAGAAATTTATATAATTTTATTTTATCTCATCAGCAGCGATTCCTTGGGGGATTGATGACAACGAGGCAAGCCTCACGAACCGTCGTAGAAAGGGGTCTTTCCTGCACCTTCATACCACCTTACCTCCCCGCACGCCCGTACAATCAGCATCAACGCCAAGAACACCACTGATCTCACTTGGGTCAAATGTAGCGTTCTGTACTGCGGATACATATGAAGTCAAGAACCAAAGCTCAGATTATAATGAAGACCACACATGTACGACTGTCTTGAATAGATGAGGGCGTCCGGCGTGTGGGCCTTGAGCCGACCAGCAAGATGTGGCATGCCAAAAAAGGAGGAAGCGACAGCAGAGAGTGCATCCGTGGCTAGCCTTGAAAGGCCTGCCAGTAATACTACACGAAGTAGCACCAAACATCCAGGACGCGCTTCCTCCACCCTCCATAGAGCAGCTCATTGCCCTTTGTGAGCCGTCCACCCCAGTGTGCCGACTATTGTGGGAGTGTAAAGGTCACCTTTTCTCCGCAAACTCGGTAGGGACGAATCAGACATTGCTGCACCACATGGCCCCGATGCCCTAAGGGAGGCAGCAATAGTGAAGATGGAGATGCAATGGAGTAAAGTTTTTGGTTGTGACATACGCCTACTGCGGGATTAGGAGAGTGTGTTGCATAAAATCTGACTTTTTTCCTATTGGCTCGAATTCTCCAAAGCGTTTCAGTTCACAACCAAACCAAAGCTGCGACAGGCCAACTCGCACAAGGTGGGTCTTTGCTTTTGTGAGCTCCAGACATGTCGGTCGCCGATGCCAATGCCGCAACAGAATGCAACGAGGGTGGCGAACCAGTCCGGACCCTCCCCGCCCAGCTTTCCGGTTCTCCCTCCGTTTGAATTTTATTTATATTGAGATATTTATTTCTTTATGTATTTATTTATTTATCTCCTCAAAGGAACAACTCTTAGTTGTTGTTTTGTTTTCGAGAACAGGGTGGGTGCGGGAGGTGATGGAGGAACCCGATGCCGTCCGCCGACGTGACGCCCACGCACACTTGCTCTTCGCGCTGGCTACGAGCCAGCACGACGGTGCAGCATATGAACAGTTATGGCCGCTCATCGTCGGCACGCTCGTGCGCCAGGTGCAGCTCCTTCGTATCTTCCTCTACTGTTTTAGTCCCTCACGGACACCACGGACTTACCCTTGGAGGCGCCACCCCGCGGCGCCACTAATGGTGGTTTGCGGGGCACAGGCAGAGGCACGAGAAGGGACGGACAAGACCGACATCGATGAGGGTGAGCGCATCAGGCGGGAATGCTTGCTCGCTGGGTTGCTCCGGTTTGGATGCATGGGTTCGGCCGAGTGCGAGCCCTCGCTCGACCACATCTTGGCCATCATCGTGCGCTCCCCTTTCAAGCCCCTCACGCCTCTGTGCCCACGCAGTCTTGGTCATGATTTCATCCACCATCATCTCGTTGGCCTTGGATCGTCGTGCTGTGCAGGCGAGCGAGAAGACGCCGGAGGGGCTCAAGGCCGCGCTCTACGCCTTCCTCTGCGCCAACACCCGCGAGCGCCGCGTCTCCGAATCTCCGGAGGAGATGGTGTGCTTCCTCATGAAGCGCATTGTGCAGGAGAAGCGGCACGACACGGCGCGCGCCTGCGCCATCCTAGCCCTCGACCGGTGGCTGGATTGCCTGGACGACTACGAGAGCAAGGCCAAGTGGGCCCACGTGCGCGAATTTTTGACGTGTGCCTGGGGCGCGCCGTGGGACCCTGCCCTCTACCCCGCCGATTTCAGCGACGGTGAAGACGACAACGACGATCAAGACGAACCCGTCTCCGATGAGAAGGAGGCCGCCGAGATGACTGTCGTCCATCAACTCGATATGGGCGTCCTCAGCAAGGCCGCGCTGGCCCTGGTGGCCCTTCGGCGTCTGAGGAACGCGCCCGTGCAGGCCATCGAGCACGCCCTCTCGGTGCTCGTTGACGATTCCTCCGTCCGAGGGGCATGGGCGTCTGTAGCTGGTGCTCCTCCACGCGCCTTTCTTGGGCCTCCCCTCTCTCTTTCTCTGCTGATCGCACAGTCCTGCGCGTGACTGCACCACGAGCAGATGCAGGAAGCTGGCTGTTGACGTCCCACCGAAACACGGGGCCTGTCGCGGCCATGGTGTCAGAGGAGTTCATGGCGAGCGTGTACGACCAAGTGGAGGCCTACCGCGAGGCCATGGAGCGGGCCAATGCGTCCCGCCACGAGTGGGAGGACGAGCAGCCGACGGTCCCCTCGCTCAGGGCGCCGAAAGCCGTCCCGTTCATCAAGGTCGCCCTCTCTCTCCTCTCCACGCATCGCGCCAGAGAGTTGCCCGCTTCTCCCGCTGCATTGCATTCTGTCGTGACTTAGCGAGTGATTCGCACGCGCCAGGTCCTCCTCCAAACGCTGGTGTGGCTCGAGGCCCAGTGGGCGAAACAGCAGCTCATGCCGCGCTTGCTCGATCACCTCGCGCAAGCTGCCGCCAGCCCCACCGCCCCTCTGTGCCGCTGTCGTTGACAAATGGTTTGTGGCTTATGTCCGAGCGATGGGTCGGCGGTGTGCAACGTTGCAAGGGGGGCGTTGGTGTCGTGCCTGCTGGCGCTCCTGGTGCCGGAGCCCCTGGCCGAGGGAACCGTGGTGCAGGAGCTCGACAAGTGCCTCGTGGGAGTGCTGCGCCAGCTGGCCTTCGAGCCTCGGTTTGACCGCATGTGGTCGCTGCTCTCCCCTGTGTACGCTGCCTTGACCCGCAACCTACTGCACGCCGGTCTCCAGTCGCGCTGATACACCCAGCGCTGCCGAATGACAGACGAGGAGGTGGTCAGCCAGCCATAACCAAAACGAGGGGCCTTCCGATGAACTCGCGCGAGGCCCTCCAGCAGTTCCTCAACGCGCCTCTGCCGGCGCACCTGGTCGGCCGCAAACGGTGCTGGCCCCCTCCCAAACACTCAACGCAAGCACAGATTGTGGGTTTCCGCCACATCAATAACGGGCTCAACGACGACTCCCTGGGCGCGTGGGCGACAGAGTACCCAACTTCGAAGGCCTGGACGACGAGAACTGGGCGCAGCTCTACCACGCCTACGGCTCCGGTACTTACCCCTACCCCATGCGAGCTTGCTTTGTGCTTGCGGTGGCATGGCTGCGGCTTCGCCAACTGGGTAAGCCCTAACCGTAAACGTCACAGCATTGGATGTGCCTCGTTTGATCCGTGGCCTCGCCTCGCCCCAACCTAAGCTGCAGCTGGCTTGCCTTCACCAACTCAACGGCAATGTCATCCATCAGGGTAACGCTCGACTCAACCGAGCCGCCGTCTGGCTTGGCATTACTCTCCTCCTCTCACCTCCCTCCGCGTGTTTTATGAATGCATGGTGCAGGGACAAGGTACCCCTCGGCGGTGGTGGTCGCCAAGTGGGTGGCCCACCTCCTCGAGTACGAGGCCGTGCCCAACAAGCATCTGCTCCTCGAGGTTGGTTGCTCAGCCGTCCCCTCCCCCTATTGTCCCACCTCTCCACTGCCCACCATGACCATGCCGCCCACCTACTAGTACCTGGCGTGCCTCATGTTGGGCTTCCCCGCGCACCACCTGTTGGTCGGCTGTCCCTCCGAGTTCGATGACATCGAGACCGACCAGGCCTGCTACGACGAAGTGGTACCACATCTCTCCATCAAATCCTCCCATCTTCTGTGTGTGCGCGCGGAGAAGGGCCGGCCGTGGCTGGAGAGTGGCGAGCGCGGGACGTGGGACCTTACTATGCCGCAATTGTGATGCCACCACATGGTAACGGTGGCTGGTGTGGCGGTGATGCACCACTAGAGCAAGAACACAGATCTCTTTGTGAAATTGCTTCGGGAGGCCGGTGACGCACGGGTCCAGCAGGAGGCCATATTCTTGCTAGCCGTACGGACGCCCCCGCTGCTGGCCACTGAGAAGACGACGATCTTCAGAGACCTAACAACTCATTCGCTCGCGCCTAAACCAGATGTGTCCGAGCAAGTGGCGCTCGACGATGCCCGTGCTGGAAGCCCTGTTTCACGACGCGGCACAGCCGGTTCACCTTCGAGCCAACGCGCTCGAGACCCTCTCCTTCCTGGCCCCCGTGCACATTTACCACCACCGTAAGAACCAGGACGGTGACGATGAGGAAGAGAAGGGCGGCGATGACGAGGTGGCGGCTGCGGCCAAGGAGGCCGTGCAACGGACTGTGGATCTGTTGGTCTCTTTCTTGCCATCTCCCTCCGGTACGACACAGCCCTTTCGCAGGGTTGAGCGAAGCCACACTGTGTAACCGGAGGGCCAACCGATGACAGGAGCGGCCACGCGGCTGCGCGATCTGACGGCCATGCGACTCGCCCGGCAACACATCGACGACAAGGCCGGTCCAGGGCAAGCCGCCTCGCTACCGTCAGAGCTGCAGACCCTCCTGACCCACCGCACGCTAGCCAATGACCCTCTCCTGCAGGCACGCACCACACATGGCCCGACACGCCCACGCCAACGCACTTGACTAACATGTTCGCCCGCTGCAACTTGGTTGGCGCATGCAGCGGAGCGCCGCCAAGGGCTTGTGCCGTCTCATCTGGCGCATTCGCGACGTCCGCGTGGCTGCATGGCCCACCTTCGGTACGCTCCCGTGTTCAATAACAACACCAAGTGCTCACGATCTCCACCCTCGAACGACAGACGAGATAAGCGAAGCTCTCAGCCAAAAGGCGCAGGCCAATTGGACCCAAGTCGCTGAGGCCGAGCTCGAGCTCGACCTGCCTAAGTGGCTGCCGGGCGTGAAGCGTGTGCTCATTGACCGTGTTGTCGACCCGGCCTCGTCCGCTGACACGGACCCGCGCCCCGGCTTTACACACAAAGGCCTGGAGCAGATCTTCCTGATGAGCCTGGGGCTGTTCGGGGACGACGCAAGCAGCGAGCTCAAGGACACCTTCCTGGCCAAGCTCAGCGATCTCGACCTTCACGGTAGGCCAAGACCGCCTCTCTCTCTGTCTCTCACTACGTCACTCTCTGATGTCACAGCTGCCGACCACTACGCAGTGAAGACGGCAGTGCACGTGGCCATGGAGTTGGCTTCCGCGTGGTGTCACGAAGCTAGGCGGCCAAACCGCCCCCGCCCCCGCGGAGCAGCACAAGCCGTACAGGAAGAGACGAGGGAGGAAGAGGAGGCGCGAGGCATTTCCAGCGTGGACGAGGAGACCAAGGTGGTCTTGTCCGCCATTGTCCGGTTCGTGTGTCGCCCCCTCGGGTCAGTGTGACTGTCTCTGGCTCACAAGTCGCGCCCACTACCAGATGCGAGCGTGTCTGGGCCGACAGAGAGCAGGTGCAACAGCTGCGCAGGCTTCTGAGACAAAAGCTGAGAATCCTTGGGAATCCAACCAGGCGAGGACTGGCGCGGGCCCTGGGCATTGCAGCCGAGCTGCCCCCGGCAACGGAGGAGGAGGCGCGAGAGGAGGCCGAGGAGAAGGCCGAACGCCGTCGGCTCTTTGGACGCAACTGAATTCGGACCAGGGGACCTCACCTGCCATGTCAGTGACCAAGGCCACACCAACACCTCACCACTTGAAGACACCCAGTCACTTGGAGAATAGGTCGTGGACGTAACCAACGAAATCCCAGAACTCGGAGGTCTTTCCCGGCGCACAACTCTTCAACCACAGAGGCGACGGAGGGGAATCGTTGGCACATTGAAAGCGCTATCTATTCACCTACATGCAGGGCATGTCAAGGGCTGCTGGTCATAAGGTGGAAGAGGATTGGGGGGGGGGTTGAGCAGGACGCAGTTTTGGTGAGGGGTGATTCGAGTCCCTGTGAGTGCAATGGCCCTCTCCCACTTATTTGTGGCCTTCCAGAGCCGCTACGGCCGCCTCAGCGCACGTTTCCTCGTCCCACGCGCCCACTGGAGTCGCCTCTTGAGGCCGTCCAGGCGCACGTCCACTCGTCCCATGGGCGGCCGTTGGCCCTTGCCATTACAGTACGGAGACCCAGCATCGAGCAGCCACGAGTTTTCTAAGGTCCTGTGTGGCCGTCAAGCCACGTGCGATGGGTCGCCAAGTGCCATTTATGAGATCCGCCAAAAAAGGCTGAAAAGACAAAACAAAAAATAAACGAAAACACAATTTTGGCCTTTTGATAAAATTTTTTAAAATTGGATGGCGGCAAGAACGGATACTTCGCATCTGTGCCGAAATGTACCCTGGGCCATTTCTGGATTAGCGCTGGGCCGGACCGCTCAGCATCCCGCGTGCTGCCTCACATCCCTCTTCCATCTCCCCAAGCGATTTTCCTCGAATTCAATTTCATCTGCCTCGGCTCAATCTTCATCTTTCTCGTCTTCTTCTACTTCTTCCTCTTCATCGTCCGTCTATCCTCCGCCGCCCGACTCTGGCGATGCAGCGCACTACGCGCCGGCCTCCTTTCTTTCCCACTCCTCCGCGTCCTACTTCCACTTTGAAGTGCTGCACACCTCCAAGCGCTCGGGCGCCCGCGTTGGCCGCATCCACACGCCCCACGGTACGCTCGGGCTTGCTTTGGCGGCGGCGGCGGCTGCGGCGGCGGCGGCGGGGACGTCACTGACACACGGCGACGACGACGGTGGGCCTTGCAGGGGTGATCGAAACGCCCGGCTTTGTGGCCGTCGGCACCAACGGGACGCTCAAGCACGTACGCTCCTGTGTGTGTGTGTGTGTGTGGTCGTGCGCCAATGACGACTGGGCTCACATATCGGTCGCAGATTTCCACGCTGCACGGCAATGAGATGGGCGTGCAGGCCATGTTCATGAACACCTACCACCTCCTCTTGTATTTGCCCTTGCCCTGCCCTGCCCTGCCCTTCCCTCCACAACACAAAGTTGTGTGTATGTCTGGATGTGGATGTGTCGCATGTCATAGAGCTGACATGTTAGATCAGACATCCGGGACCGGAGGTGATCGGCAGCGCTGGCGGGCTGCACAAGTTCATCCAACACAAGACGCCCATCATGACCGACAGCGGTGGATTCCAGGTGCCGGCCCTCTTTCTTTCTTTCTTTCTTTCTCTCTATTCCATCCACGCACACCACCGCACACGTCTCAACGGTCACTTATATAGCGAGGGACTCGCGGTGGTATTGTGTGCACGCGCAAGTGATGTCGATGGCCTCGCGTGACCAATTCATTTACTCGCACCAGCTGCCCCACGAAAGAGAAGAGGAAGAGATCGCCCGGTATGTCATCGCCTTGCGTGTGCGTGTGCGGTGGAATGTGTGCGTGCCCGGTGGAATGTGTGCGGTGGAATGTGTGCGATGGAATGTGTGTCGGGGCTCATTGTGGTGGCGGTCTGGTCAGGCAAGAAGCCGAGGCCGAGGCACAGGGCATCGGCGACGAACGTTCGAAGAAGCTGCTGGCCCGCGCACGCGACCGGGAGAGGAACGAGGAGAGCGGATACATAAGCCTCGTGCAGCGCATCAACGAAGACGGCGTCTTCTTCAAATCTTATCGGTACCCGCTACCTCGCACGCACCACCGCACACGCACACGCACACGCACACGCACTGTGAAAAGAAATCACTTGGCGGACGTCCCAGACCCACCACTAACTTTTCACACACACAAGCACAATAATGATGGGGAGCTGTTGAGGGACGCAAACGGATCAAATGACATCGCCGTCGATTTCGGCCTTTGGTGCGTCCGCCTTTGCCCTCCACTCATTCACAATCTCGTTGGCAAAGGCATCAAACACGTCATCGGATGCGGCCGGGTCGATCCCGCGCTGCTTGAACATCTCCATGGCTTCGACCGCATAGACGGCATCGATGTTGTAGGGTGCGAGTACGCGGGCCGTCGCGATCTTGCGATCCACTATCAACTTGGAACAGCGCATGAGCGGCAGCGTCTCCTTGACCACGCGCAGCGCTCGGTCCCAGTCGAGCGTTGTCGTGGTGTCGGCGCCGTTGGGATTCATGTCGTGTGGGTGTGCTGGCCGACCAGACGCTATGCTGACCGATTACTCGTTGCGGTGCGTGTTTTAGATGAAGGCTATCTTGCCGGTTGTGTGGCCATCTGCGGGTTCCCGGTCGGCGATGGCGGGTGCACGATGAGCATGCGATTCGGCGCCCACGATCGGGCCATGGAATCGGTCTCGCGCATTCTGGATTCGGTCGCCGGAGAACAGACGACGCCGCGCTGGGTGGTGAGTGGTGTCAGAGGCAGAGCTCGGATGATTGACTCGGATGATACGCTGTCTCTGATCGCGAAGCGGTGGGGCGTCGGACCCCCAAAGGACCAACGCCAACGTCGTGCGTATGCACTGACCCTGTCGTCTGAGATCATGCGCATCGGATTCGCCGCGACTCTCGATCTGGCGTCCATGCGCGATGAACACGGAGGCCTGCACATTGCATCACCCCAAGGATCGATGGTGCACAGGATTCTGCTCGGCTTCGGCATCGTATCGCGGCTGTCACTCGATGTCATACACGTCACCGCCCGGTGGACCAAGAGACTGGACAACCTGCTGAACTCTGTGGCAACATAAAACCCGTTCCATGTTCTTTGTCGCGTGCACGCCATGGAAGACGAACTTGCTCACAACCAGGGGCTGATATCGACGATGCTTGACATCATCCGTCACGACAGGGACCCATCCACGTTGGGATGTTAATGCCACCACAGGATATGCCAGATTCCGTCGGATTCGCATGGGTGTCGATCGAGCGCCGTGACAACGGATGGTTCATGTTTCGCACGACGCAGGATGGCGAGACCGCCGATTCCGCGAACGAGCTGTTTTGTATGGCGCGCCTTGCAGTTGTAGCTGAGGCGATCGCCATCGCCGCGACCATGGGGCCTATCGCCTTTGACCACGACGATCCTGACCGAGCGGCATTGTTGCGTGACATGTGGTCGAACGGATGCTGGATCGCGTCACCGCATCAGATCAGGGAGCGTCAGTTGGCGACACCGCACAACCCGCCCGCGAGCGCACCGCTGCCGGCCAACGTGGCATCCCATCCTGCCGCGGCGATGCTCGCAATCAGGATCCGAAGCCAGCCCGATTGTTGCAGATCGGGTGATGCGTGGGCCATCAAGGCGTGGCGCACGCTCGAGAACAAGTTGTTCGAATGCGAAAAATAAAATGACCCGCCTTTTCGGATCACGGCGATGAAAGAGTACATGATCATGGCAAAGCGTGGGTGCGGGTATTCGATTCGTGCGGTGTCCCTCCTCGAGGAAAGGAAATTGGCCCATCAGGTGGCGTGGGCCGATCCAGACACGATCCCCGACTTTGAAAACACCTACGCACAGATGACGGGAAGCAAGCGATTGCTCACCTGGCCTCGTGTGTTTTACGCGGATTCAAAGGACAAGGCACCGATTCTCATCAGCGGATGCAACGATCTAGTGCGATTCTTGGGGTCCAAATAGATGAGGCGCCAGCAATAACGTCGACGCGCGCGACAGGCACGGAAAAGCCAGCGCACGATTCTCGCGACGGGCACAACGCCATGAACAACGGATGGGCTGTACCGCCGCTGCCGCAATCGATGTCGTACGCCCAGGGCATGGCCACGTTCGGCCCGCCCGTGCTCCACCCGCAGACCAACCCAACGTCCACCCTCAGCAGCGACGGCACCGTTGAACCACCGCGACCCCTCCCGAACGCACTGCAGTCGTCCGTCGTCGTCACGTTCGACAGCCGGGACCGCGATCGCGCCACCAATCCGTCGGCCAGCAGCTTCCGCCTGGCGCTGCCGTTCGTGCTCAAGAATGTCAAGTCCATTGAGCTGGTCAAGGCCATCATCCCGGCGGTCGCAGTGCCCTCGTACATTGGCAGCACCACGCACCACCGCCTTCCACTATCCGCTGTCCAACGAGCAGCCGCCCGCCATACCCGATCTGGCACAGAACGTGTTCCTCAAATTCTAGATCATGTGCGAATAAATGGCGACGTTTGGAACCGACTTTATATTTCCCCAACGCCACTGTCGTAATCACCACCAATGTCGTCATCCAGGAAGAAGAAGGACGCCTCATCGACATCGGGCGAGATCCGTTCGACCGGCACGCGCAAGAGCACCACCAAGTCGCACACCGTCATCCGCCACACCGACGGCGACAGCGATACCGAGCAGATCCACATATCCGATTTCGGATCCGGACGAGGGACGGTACCACCGTCGTGGTCCTGTCCGCTCGTCGTCGCAAAACGTGACCGTCATGGTGCCCGTGGTTGAGACCATCGACCGCATCGAAGGGATCGTCACGTCGATCAAGGAGATCGTCGAGCACGGATCGGACGTCTCCAACGTATCGGCTGTGCGCGCTGCCGGAGAACTCAAGGCGGTCACGCGCAAGCTCAAGGCGGTGGCCGAGCGCCACAATGATGCGCCCCAAGCGGCGGACGCCACGGCGCCCGTGTTGGCGAATCTGCAGCGCGATGTGGCCGTCGCCGTTGAGATGCTGCGCAACATCAAGGCACCGGCACCAGCACCGACCGTCATCCACGACGATTCCGGCAGCGGTGCGATCGTCGAGGCAATCGAGAGGCAGCACAAACAGGTGCAGGATGAGATCCGCGAACTCAAGACCACCCAGCAGGACGAGTTCAAGAAGCAGGTGGCCCAGATCGAGACCGCACTCAAGAATGTTAATCCAAGCGGTCGCGTCATCCACATGAGCGACGAGGTGACCTTCAAGCGCGCCATTGAGCACATCACCCATGAGACCAAGACGCAGCTGGCCAAGATCAACCAGAGCCTCAAGGCCAGCACCATATCCAATGCCCTCCACCATCAGCTCATGGCCATCCACGGCGACATCCAGGCGCTCATTGTGCCCGCCACCACGGCCAACCTGCAGGCCACCATCAGATCACTCAAGATCAGGCTCAAGGGCATCAATCAGCGCATCAAGGCCCTCGCCGACACACCACATGCACCCAACAACACCAAGCAGATCACAGACATGGTGCACAATGCCAAGACACATATCACCACCACCATCAGCAACATCCAGATAGCCAGCACAGCCACACCAGTGCCTGCCGTGCAACATGTGACACAGCAACAGGATCCAGCAATCATCAACCAAATCAACAATGTGATGAATGGGGTGACCGCCATCAAGACCGTGGTTGACCCAATCCAGAACCATCTCAACGACATCATGGCCAAGGTTCAAGAATCCCAGATCACGACGTCACACAAGATCCAGCAGATCCAGATCAAGGCCATCAATCACTGACACATCCCACAGGCACCACCACCACCTCCCCCACCAGCACCAACGCCAGCATGCCCCATCATTGTCAAGCAGGAGGACACGACCAACATCTTGCAGGGCATACTGGAGATTAAGGAGATGATCTGCAACGATGTCAGTGGGCAACTCAAGAAGATCAAGAAGGAGGTCAAAAAGGAGCATCCGCCAGGCGTCAAGCCTGAGCCCATGCCATCGCCCAGCCCGGCTCCCCCGGTTTTCCAACAGCATGACAACAGCGGCAGCATCAATGCCATCTATCAAGCCGCACAAGCATCCAAGGCACGTGATCGGCAGCTCCTCAAGAAGGCCATTGAGATCCAAGAGGCCATCCATGGGATTGTTGTAGAGGCTCCAGTCATTGACCTCACATCCATTGAGAGTGAGATCAACAGCATCTGCAATGAAATCAAGAGCATCTGTAATGAGATCCACACTGCGCCATTGATTGCGCTGACGGTTGAGCGCATCGCTGAGACCACCAAGACCATCGCCAAGACCACTGACGCATTCATGGCCAACGCGACATGGCCTCCATGATCCAGAATCTGCGCACTCCTTCGCAACCGTTCGTGGTGGATGTGGAGATCCCACACGATGCCGGCTCCGATGCCAAGGTGGACGCGCTCGCGTCTCACTTGCGTCGTCAACTGGACGAAGCCGTAGTCCTCGACAAGGGATCGCAGAACGCCATCGCCAGTCTAATCGCCGCCGCCAACGATCTTGCAAACAGCCGATCCGGATCTGCCACCCTCGGTCCAGAGATCCTCAAACGTATCAACACCGTCAAGCAGGCCATACGTGCCACCAACTCTGGCACCGAGGCCGTATCAGCCGCGATCATCGACACTGAATCCGCGATCGGATCAAGAGCACCAACAACGGGTGGCGAAGACATCGCCAAACACATCGCCGGGATCCAACGTCGGATCGCACAGCTGGCCATCCAGCTGCTCGCCGCCGAACCAATCATGGGCCAGGTGAACGCGCTGCAGGCGCTCGTCGATGGCACCGTCGCAAAGAATATACAGACGCTTGGCGATTCGGTGGCCACCATCCGCCAGAGCATGGCTGATGTCAACCTCCCCGGCGTGCAACAGCTGTCTCAGCAGGTGGCCGCGTTCAAGACCGAACTGGACAACACCCTTGCGATCATGCGATCGGCAAATCAGACCGTCGCCGGCGCACCCACGGTGATCGACGGCATCGTGCGGTCCATCAACACCATCAAAGACAGCACGCCAGGCGGACAGCTAGGTCAGATCGCGGATGATCTGCAGAGGATCGCCACCCAGATCGGGGAGGGTAACACCACAACGGCCACCCTCGCACGGGCACGCGAGGCGCTGGCGGTGATCCGAGAGAACGTCATTTCCGAGGACGTAAACATCCCGAATCCTGCGGAGCAACGTGCCGCCCTCCTGGAGCGCGTGGCCCGTGCCAGGACCTTCGGCGCGCTGGATGGTCTGCGCGAGGCTGTCGGCGTCGTCGATCAAGCGGTGGGACAGACCACCATCGGAGAGATCAACTTGACGGCACGGCAGCGACGCGACGAGCTCATAGTGTTGGTCAAGATTCCCGACAACACCGGCTTGAGTGCCGACGACAGCAAGGCCATCAAGGACACCGCCGCCGAAGCGCAGCGACGCGTCGCCGCCACCGTGGGCGGGGCTTGGCGGAAGGCGACCAACAAGATAGCACCAGATATTGAGAAGTCCAGTGAGGCGGCGGCCAAGCTGGGTGTCTCAACGGTTGTCACGCGAACCAGCCGGATGTGGCAGGAGGCCATCGACACTGCCAACATCAAGGGCACTGCCACGCCTTCGTTCAATGCCATCGCGCAGAAGATCTACGAGGCCGTCATCGCCAAGGCACAACCAACAGCGACAGCTGCGACACTGCCCAGCCCCGTTGCGGTGCCAGTGCATTGTGAGTTTGACGTCAAGCATTTCCACCGCAAGTACACAAGAGACAAATGGGAAAAAATGACCCGAGCACGTTACAATGCACTGGTGAATCATGGCGATCTCAACCGTTTCTTCATATCCGCTGAACAGAAGATCGACTTCATCGGCCAGTTCATCGCTGGCGTGCCCATCCTCAATGTCGACGACAGTCTCGTTGCGTGCGCCTTCCTTCGGCTACCGTATGCCAACGGTTCGCCTGTAAGCGAAGGCCAGGTAGAACTGGCACTGACAGCCGTCGGTGGAGGCCTTGCGCAAGTCTACAAGGCCGCCGCCGATCTTCATCACACCAATCCTGCCATCCCAGGCCCGCTCGATCTCATCGATGATGATGAGGAGCAAGCAGAACAGCTCCTCCTTCAACTAGTCAATGGTTTGCTGGCCAACACCATGGTGAAGCCCGTCGTGGAGACCTTTGCCCGATACATGAAGTGGGAGCCCACGGATTTCACCATCCGGCACATCATCGCGATCCTGATCAACGCCACGCTTGAGTTGGACATGTGGTGGAACTGGATGAGCGAGATGGACGTCGCGGCCGCTTGGATCCTGCTGCGCTACATCAAGTGTGCGGTGTCACTGACGGTGGGACACATGGATGTGTTCCCCATGGCATTGCAGTTTGTCAGCCTCGCGGTCACCGAGAGCCCCGAGTTCATGGCCCCGCAGTTCCTGCCGGTGCCCCAGAACGGCACTATGCAAGGTTTCAATGATGCCCTGGATCATTGCGCCTTCTGTGTCACATTACTGGCCATGTCATTGGTGTGTAGCGAGGACTATCCGCGCATGGATCTGGTGGAAATCGGCGACCTCGACCAGACGCTTGACGAGGAGGGACTCAAGCCGACCACCACTCACGCCCAGATCGCGCAGCGCATCCAGCTCGCGAGGACCAAGGACGGCCAGGCCGTCGATTGGCTCACTGCGAGCATCAACGCCGTCGTGTCGGGATGCATCGTGAGGCTGGTGACCATCGGCGACACCCGCACGATGCCCCCACCGTTGTAGACAGCATTGGTCACCAAACACAACTACCAGGCAGCACCCAACCCTCGACGCGGCACCGCCGATCCGATCCACCTCCAGGCGTCCAGGCTCGCCCTTCTGTGCCTGGCGCCGACCGCGAGCAGCATCGCCGGACATCTCGGAGACATTGACAGGAACGAGTACAGGACGGCGCTCCTCGGTGGCCTGCGCGCCGCTCTCGGATCCACGTCTGACATCCGAGCCGAAGCCGTCATCAGCGCGCCCAACGCACGCGGGCCGCGCAAGGTTCTGCTCGACGACGCCTTTGATCAGGTGAAGTTCAGCGCCCAGTCTTCCCTCTTTGGATACACGCTCGTCACGGAGCACGACGAACGGTCAACCGGCACCTTCGACGGCGATCGCATCGTGATCTCGGACCTATTGAACATCGCGACCGCCGACAACGAGGGCCGAATCATCGACGGCAGGGTCCAGGCCATCGTCCGAGAGCTGCTCAAGTTGAAGCCCGGTGAGGTGCCCACCAACCCGAGTATCTACCTCAATCTGGCGAGCTCTGCCGATCGTCTCGTTGACCGTCTTGGCGGCAGCCTGATCCGAGCGACAACGACCCAGGAGTGGGAGACCGCCCCGGCGACCGGTGGTCTCGAACAGGAGAAGCGACTCACTGCCGCCCAACGTCGATACACCAATTTCGTGGACGAGGCGAAAAAGAGAGGCCTGACCATCGGATACGCGCTCGACACTGCCACCGATGATGCGGCGTTCATCGCCTTTGAGAAAGCGGCGAACGGCCCGCGCTGGAACAAGAAGACGTCGCTGTTCGATACCGAGCGCTGGTTCCGTCTCGTCATCGAAGGCGAGGGTGGTGCCACGCTCGAGACGTTCGTCTACGTCGTCGCCACCGACATGCCTGTGCCCAGGATGTTCCGGTTCACCGCCAGGAAAACCGAAGGCGGCGGCTTGGTGCGGATCATGGAGGGCGAGGGGCAGTTCATCTCGCTCAGCTTCCTGGCCAGCAACGACGAGGCTCTCGAATTCGCCCCCATCGCGAGCGCCGCCGTCGGACTCATCGCCGATGCCTACGCGTGCCCGATCGCCGAGGAATCGGTCGTCATCGTCGACCGACACGCCAACGCCATGGTCTACGCCGAGGTCTTTGGCAGCGTGACCATCTCCGCGGGCGAGCAGCGCGTCGGACCGACCGGTCTGGAGATCGAGGGATGGCGAAAGGTGGTGGCGCACGCCCGGCCCAACGCCCGTCGATCCGCGCATCCGGCGACTGCGCAACAAGACGGTCCAGATGATCGCGCGCGGCCAGGTCACCATCGGCGCCGATAAAACCACCAGCCTCGTGAAGTCGGACCTGCTGAGGGTCGCCAACAGGCGCGCCGGCATAGTCGCCGGTGAAATGGACGAGGAGGAACGTGCGTAACGCGTACATTAAAAATTCAGACAACGTTGTATGTAAGAAGAGCATGTCGACCAACACCACGAAAAAGAAGAAACAACCACGCAGGCCACGTGATCGCCCACCGCAGGGGATCACGGCCGATCACGCCCGCGCGCTGGTCGACCGATCCGACGAGACCTATCGCGTCGTCGCCGTCATGCTGCGCCAGCGATGCGACCAGGCGATCGCGGCCGCCGCATCCATGGGGCGCGAGCACATCACCTTTGCGGTGCCGGCGCTTGTGCCCGGCATGCCGCTCTACTTTGCCCACCGTGACAAGGTGGTGGAGCTGCTGGTCGGCGGGCTCCGGAGGGACAAGCACGTGGTCGAGCGCATGCGCGAGAACATGCTCTACGTCGAGTGGGGCGAGGAGGCGGCGCCGACCGGCGAGGCCGAACGGCAGGCCGAGGCCAGGGCCAAGGCCAAAGCGGCGGCCAAGGCGGAAAGGCGCGCCGCGCGGAAGTTGCGACGCGAGGCAAGCAAGGGCAAGGGCGAGGCCAAGGCGCCCGAGGAGCGCGGCCGTTCCGAGGAGAAGAAGGACAAAAAGAAGAAGAAGGAGCGCAGCCGCAGCAGGAGCCGCAGCAAAAGCAGAGGGCGCGCCGCCAAGCGCGATGCGCTGGAGATCTTGCGCGAGGCCACCCAGGAGAAGCGCGCGGACAACATCATGAAGATGCTCAAGGAAAAATAAAAGCCTTTTCATCAGGTGGCATGATGGAGCACACGATGAACCGGTCTCAGGAATTGGGACTCGACACCTCCTGGTCGGATGGTGATGATGGAAGAGGATCGCCGCCACCTCGGTTGTCACAGTTGCCGTGAAAGAAGAAACAAACACAATCTCTTTGTGTGCTGCTGCTGCTGCTGCTTCTGCTGTGGTTGATGCCCCTGGATCGTTTTTTTTTCCTAATTATTCCAGTGACGACCCAGCCCAAAGACATGCAACTGGCTCTTCGTGTCTGTGGTCAGTGGAATCTTGCAATTTTGGCAGTGCTATGTTGCATTCCCAGTGCACCACCAACAAAGCGGGAAGCGCCAAACGCAGGAGCATGGTCATTGTGTGCCTGTTCCATCTGCCCCTGGAACTGCAGAGCCTCACCTTGGTTCCATTATCTCTCTTCCTTTTATGATCAAAAAGATGTTTACGCCAGGACAGAAGTGGGCGATTAAATCAAATGGTTTTGTGAATCTGGCACTTAACCTTATGATGCTCACCCTTGCGGCTAGTGAGCACTTTATTAGCACATACCAGTGGATGGACAGTGGTGGCCGGTGCAACACAGGTCACCCTGGTTGCAGATTTCTCCTATGGGCAGGCACAATGTGCAATGGTGGTACACTTGATTGCACCTCACTTCCAGGCTGAAACCCAGATTGGGGTTGCAACAGGGAGTAGTGTTGTTGCAGTACTGACCCACAAGAAACACTGTGTCCAGAAAAAGGTGACAGTGGTACTTTTTAATGAAACTAAAAACAGGTGTACATGAGATAAAAACACTGTGGAATTTGAATGTACACAGAGAAGAGAAGTTTTATTTACAGGTGTCTAAATATTTCTTGAAGGGTGGGTGGGGGAACTCCAGTGTTGGCGTTAAAGTCAAAGCCACAAGCTAAAACAGACCCCATTGGAACAGTGCTTTCTGAGCCATGGTCAGTCCAGCATCCATTAGTGAAGTTCCACCAGCAAAAGTCCTGAGTGTCTTCATCAGCATCAGCCTGGACAGCAACCCACTGACCAGGAGCAAAGTTGAAATGTTGGACTTGGGGTGTAGTCTGTGTGTGGACAACCTTGACCCTGGTTTGGAGACAGAACAATGGACCATCAAGGAGAGGATTAGTGATGGGGTGAGCTGTGAGTCCATCAAAAATCAAGTTATCACAGGTTGGTTGGGAGCTTGAAACAAGAGCCTCATGTGCTTCAAAGATATCAGCCCACTCACTTAGCTCAGCCTCAAGGAACAGTGGAGCACAGCAGTTGTCAGCCAACTCAGTAAGCACTTCAGGTGGAAATTGCTGAGGTGGGATAGTGAAAGGTGCTCCTGATGTGGTTTGTGTAAGTTGTGATATCTTTTGGTGGGGTGTGTGCAACATAGTGAGGAGCAAACCAGTCAGAATGGATGTGAGAAGCTGGTATGGCTCAGAGTAGGCTCCTTGGGTGTGGTAGGCTTTGTCCCAGATCACTGGTTTGCCTGAAGCATCACATAAAAAATGGAAAACATGGGGGGTGGAGTGACCAGTCAGGCCATGCATGTGATTTCCAAGCCAGCTCTTCCAGTCCCAAACAGTTTCAAGGGTGTGCAGGGAAGGAGCTGGGCTGGTGGATTGGTAAGCCTGCTCAAGAAAACCAGAAAGTTGACTGAAATTTGAAGATGAAGTTAGGAAGGTGAACAAAAAGGGGCAATCATTAATGCTGACAGAAAAAACTGATGTGCATTGGGGTAATGAGTCAACAAATAAAAAACCCAATGCGCATCAGGAAAACAATCAAGACAAAAAAAGAGTGATGACCATTACCTTGGGGTGTGAATGGAAGAGGTATGGAACTTTGTCTGAGCAGTGGAGAAGAGCTGGTCAATGTCTTTATGTGTATGCCCAACCAACAGAAAGCTCAGGTAGACCTCTTGGAACATATCCAGGCTGACCAGGAGACTGAGGAAGGCAAGCATGAAGACATTCTTGTTCTCAGCAGCACAATTGTCAGCCTGCAGGTAGAGGATAGAAGGGTGAGTGTTGGAGGTGGTGTTAGTCAAAATGTGAGTTCAGATGTGGTGAAAGAGTGTGGAGATGACAAGGTTAGCATCTTTTGGCCAAAAGGGCTGAGGGTGTAGAAAGAGGTGTTTGCCATGGCTGTGGTCAATGAGACCACCAAGAACCATGGTGAACCAGTTGCCAAAGTGCATCCAGGCCTTTGGCACAGGAGTGTGGGTGGGGAGAGGGAGTGGGTTGGAGTAGTCAATGATCAGGCTCATGTAAAGACTTGGTCGACTTGTTGCTTGGTGGCATTGGTCCTTGTAACTGAGGCGTTCTGCAGAAGAAAGTGCAAGGTGGTGAGTCCATGCACTTGCAAACTGTGCTGCCTCAAGAGGGCTTTTGGCTCTCAAGCATTGCTGTGCAAAGTCAATGCAAGCAGAGCACTTGCCAAGGCGTGAGTTCTTAGGCAACTTCACATAGGCAAAGTGGGAAGCAATGTGTTTGAGCATAGCAGAATAGGTGAGCACAGGAACAGTTGAGGGATGAGCATTGGCACACATAGAGTGCACTTCTTGCCAAGTCAAAGAAATAGGTAAATGGATGGTGGCATCAGGAAGGCGATCTCCAATAACATCAAAGAAAGTGGCTAGCCATAAGTGGGTATTTGAGGGACATTGCAGTCCAGTGGTGTTGTGTATTGGGACACGCCCACCAGAAATGAAAATCTGTTTAGCAGAACACCACTTCTGAAACCATGCACCTTGTAGAGCAGCAATGTGGCACTCAGGTAGTGTTGAGACACAGCTGGCTGACATGATGTTGATGATGTAGGTGGTGCAATTGCATTCATTGAGATCTGCAAAGGGTTGTGTGGTGTTGAGAATGTCAGCAAAGGAGAAGTTATCAAGGCATTTCTTACAACAACAGAATGATGCAAGAACAGTATTGATGTGATCATTGCTGACAAGCAGGCGACGCTTTTTGGGGATTCACTCTTCAGCAGTTCAGAGAACTCTCTTCCTTGGAGTTTGAGCTGTGGCTTGTGAGGACTGGCCAAAGATTGGGGATAGTAGGGTAGAGGCGAGGACCTCTGTGTTGGTGGGGAGAGAGTGGCTCATTGAGGTGGAGAACAACTGAATGACACTGGAGAGGTATTTAAACATTTGGTGTGATACCTCTGATTCCCAATGGCCACATAATGGATAGATGTGGTTTTTCTGGATTGGTGAACATTGTGTTTCTTGGAACTCCAGACCAATGAGCTCACAACTAATAACAGTGGAGTTGAGGAAAATATGGGACAACTTTACAAACCTGATGCCATCAGGAAACAGGACAACAAAATAAAACTGATGCACATTGGGATAAGAGTTGACAAATAAAAAACCTGATGCACATCAGGAAGCAAGTCAACAAATAAAAAACCTGGTGAGAGGAGGGAGTGAAAGAGCCAATGGATGTGGAAGTGGAGGAGGAGGAGAGGAAGGAAAAGGAGGCAGAGGAGGAGGAAGAGCAGGAGAAGGAGCTGGAGGAGGAGGAGCAGGAGGAGAAGCAGGGGGAGGTGCAGAAGGAGGAGGAGAAGGGGGTGGAGGAGGACATAGTGGAGGAGGAGAAAGAGGAGGAGAAGGGAGAGGAAGCACTGGAGGAGGAGCAGGAGGAGGAGTTGGAGGTGGAGGAGCTGGAGGAGGAGGAGCACCAAGCACCACCAAGGAAGCACAAGCTGGTAGAGGAAGAGCACAAGGAGAGGAAACACACACACCCAGAGGTGATTGACATGGACAAGGAGATGGAGGCAGAGGAGATCAAGACCAAGCCACACAAGCAGCCAGTGGTGTGCCAGTACTCTGCAGGCAACACCAAAGAGCAACACAAGGAGGCTGCCAGACTACTTGTGCTGCCTGACCTGGAGCTAGGTATGTACACTTTGTGTGTTTTTACTGTTCACCACACTGACAAGTTCCAAACCAATGCACATCAGTTTTTTATTTGTGGACTCCTTTCCCAATGCACATCTGGTTTTTTATTTGTCAACTCTTTTCCCAATGTGCATCTGGTTTTTTATTTGTCAACTCTTTTCCCTATGCACATCAGTTTTTTATTTGTCAACTCTTTTCCTGATGCGCATCAGTTTTTTATTTGTCAACTCTTTTCCCAATGCACATCAGTTTTTTATTTGTCAACTCTTTTCCCCAATGCGCATTGGTTTTTTATTTGACCTGTGAGAACCATGTTCTCTAACAGTTTGTGTTGCTGACCTCCACCTTACTATTCAGAAACGAAAATTCATACACTCCCAAATTTCCAATCACTTCAGTCCAACCCCAACATCATCAGTGCCAGCCTTCAGGTGACCCACAACAACCAAGCAATTCACCAGCAGAAGGAGCAGCTCAATTGCATCGACCCTTCAACTTTGCACTGTACCTGGGTTCAACCCACATCATGCCACCTTGATGTTTGGAACTGCACCATCTTTGGTACAACTCCTCTTTTCATTATGGCAATGTGTAGATGCTTTCACTTGCTAACCACCTGCACTGCCATCAGAACAGCATCACCCAGTGACAGTTCCAGGAATTCGTCACTTGCTGCAGTCTGTTGTGGATGGAGGGTGTCTCACAACCAAGCCCTTCATTGTTAGATTTCTCAATGAAGATGAGTGCCTTGACCAAAACAATGTTGATGAGTTTGGTATTACTTCCCACACCACTTCAATTTAGCTGCACTCATGGCCATTCAGTTTTTAGGCTATTCACAATTCCCAATGTGCAGTGGTTTTTTTGGGTACTAACTTTTAACCTTCCAGAGGCTGTCAATTGTAACCACAGAGTTGTGGTCTGGAACCTCATTGAGCACTGGCAGTGGGAGAATGTCTATGAAGTTGTGCCAGCAGCTGCAGGGATGGAACTCAGCTGGATCATCCTCAACCACATCTCTGGCTTTGAGAACTACATCAACTCAGTGGGACTACAATGCTCTTGCTGAGCACCTGGTGTGTCCACCACCCTCATATTTCAAACCATTACTCATCACCCCACACCTCACAGAAAACGCTTGAGGGTCATGCTGCACCAAAGCCCACCACTCTGCAGAAGTACTCAACTACCTTAAGGGCCCTGTTCCATGCTCCAGGAGTGGTGGAGTATGTTATTTCTACTCTAACTCTTCACCTTTGTTTTGAGTCCTCACTAACTGTTCCCCTTTTCCAGTCTTATCAAGGAACTCAATCGCCTCATTCCAGAGGGTCAGGTGTTCATCTCCCTTGACAACCTCAACTCTGGTGCCTTCAGGGAATTGAGTGCCAATGACATGATTGCTGTGCTTCATCATTATAAGCACTACCAACACCAAGCCCCTTCCAAGAGTATGTCCTTTCTTCTGAGTTCTTTTGTTCTTCTCCCCACAAGTCTAACTACTTCCCTCTTGCCAGAGAACTTCTGGTCACTAATCACCAACCACTGGAGCATGATCAAAAGGCAGATGGAGGCCTTTCATCAGGCTGTTCATGCAGCCACTGAAGCTTCTGGCACCACTCCAACCACCCCAACCAGTACATTTTCATTTTGCTGGTAAAGTTCCAAGCTCACCACATGCTTGTTCTTTACAGCTACCAAGAAACATGGCAAGGGTAAGGCTGAAGAGGAACCATCTACCATCAAGCACAAGGCAGAGCTTGCTCTCCAGAAAAAGTATCTCCCCCAATTCACCAAGCCACTCACCAAGCTTCTTGGCCAACCAACACAATTCAAAAAGAGGAGGACAAAGAAGAAGAAGACCACTCCAAGAAAGGCAAGGGCCAAACTGATGGACTCTGACCTGCAATGGATTAACAATGACAACAACAACAACAAGGCCAACAACAACAATCACAACAAGCAGAGTGATGGCAGCAGCAGAAGCAGTGGTAGAAAGATGACAGCAACCAGCAGGAAATGAAAGAACAACAAACACTGTGTCCAGAAAAAGGTGCCAGTGGCACCTTTTGTTAAGTAAAATCTGCACAAGTGATATATGTGTATGTGCAGCGAAAGCAGTACTTTTGTGAACATGGTGTGTGAGTGATAGGGGCTGCAGCTGATTGCCACTGTGTGTGGAAACCATGTGCCCTGGGCACTACACTGCCATGCCCTTTGCCATGGACAACACACTCAACAACAACAACAACAAGGGCAACAGGATGAGGGCAAAGATGGTCAAGATGACAAGAACAATGACACCTGCAGCAGCAGCAGTGACAGGGATGAAGGCAGTGGCAACCTGGACTACAAATACAGTGACCAGAGCATCACTCAAAGTGTTAACACCATGACAGGAGAAAGGCCCAACCCTGAGTGCCATACCACACCCACCCATGCACTGTTACACAGACCTGTGGCTGCCCACCACTGCCACTGCAGTGGACCTGCTAGATCATGTGCCAAGGCCTTCAACTGAGCTGTCAACTGCAAGGCCACAAAATACAGCCCAGCAGTAGCTGACAGCTTGATCACCAAGGTGGTGCCATTCATCATGTCACCCTTTGGCACACTCTCAAGGCCAGCAAAGGCCTTCCTCAAGCATGCCATGGGCAACACAACAACAGCCAAGCAGGCCAAGGCATGTCTGCACCTTGCCATGGCCACCATTCAGGGCAAAGCCCACCTGGGGCACCTGCACCCTCATCAGCAACTAATGCACAAGAAGGACAGCCAGGATGGCCAGGACAACAATGAAGGCAAGGGCAAAAGCAACCACCTACACCACAAGCACCATGACAAAAATGTTGCACACTGTACAGGCAGCTAGGTTGCACCCAGCCAGCCATTACAAGCCTCAGTTGGCATGAGCCCCTGGCTTCCTGAGCCCACCTGGGCAACTCTTTTGGTCTGGTTTTACTGGCCTGTTTTTCTCTCTCCCCCTTTCCCCCCCTTTTCCTTTTGTACTTTTTGTACTTAGGTTTTTCATCTGGCCATGGCAGCTTGTTGCCTGGCATAGTGTTAACATGTTAAAAAAAATGTGTAAATAGATAACTATTTAACCCTAAAAGACAAAAACAACAAGGATGAAGACAATAATGAGAGATGGATGGGTGTCAAACCATCCAGGATCTGCCAGAAGGTGAAGAAGTTGCAGAGACTGCTCTCCAGGTTCCTCCAGCCTGATTGGAGTGCTGCTGTGCTGACCTTGGTACTCAACACACCAGCAGTCATGCACCCACACATGCCCTCTAATGCAGCCCAGTAGTGGACATCACAACCTGTTGAAGTGGAATCAGACATGGTGTCCCCCCTAATTGTGATGAAATAAACAAAGCACCACCCAGTGGCAGCAGTCCCCTGTGTGCTTGGTGTGCAAACAATTGCATTCACAAGCTGAGTCAATCTTGAGTGTTATTATGGTCAGGAAGTCACTCTGGGATCACACAATGGGGCCTGTGTGCCCTATTCACATGCACTGGGCTTGACTTGGAATTCAACCAACCAATTTCTGCCTGTCCACAGAAAGGACAAACTCTTAAGATTTTTTATTACAAAATGTGAATTGAAACTACAAGATGGCCAGCAAAGAGAGCAGTCTGACACCAGACTGTACCAGGTAATTGTAAATAACAAATGGTGATGTAAAACTAATGACTGTTCACAAGGCATGATGAAAGATGAAGCCATAGTAGAGCCCCTTTAGCTCAAAGGTGGTGGCCACACCAGTTGTGGGGTTCATGGTGAAGTAGACCAGTTGGTTGCCTCCACCAAGGACCTCCTCACACAGATCAGGATGGGTGGCTGCTCATCATTCAATGGGTGAGTGATAAGCAGATCATCATCCACCAACCCCAACAGGGGCAAAACAAGAGACAAGGGAACGCACAGGAGATGGCCACTTGAAGGATCAGCTGGTTGGGGTCCTTGTTGAAGGCCTCATAGTAGTCCAGTAGGGCTGAGAAGAATGGGGTGGTGTCATGCCCAATGTAGATGGTGATGAGCACCCTTGTCCTGTTGGTCTCATCCTGAATCAACCTCACGTCCGCAGTGATTCCTGGCGATCATCAATGATGAGGACTCAAAGGAGAACGCACACTTTGCATGGGATGGATGATGGATACCTTGGAAGATTGGGGGGAGCGGGTCATTGTTGTATGCCTTGTAGGATCCAACGATGTTCTGGGGATGGGGCGGGAGGGCAGGAGGGACTTGAACTTGGCTCAGAAGCTGAGTTAGTGGAGGAACCAGCACAGCGTTCGCCTGTAGCGCTGCAGTAAGTGCCGGTCCACCAAGCCCGCCTGTATTCACGGTTCGTGCATGTGTTAGGGTGAGGTGCATCCTGACGGGCAATGGAGGGGGTCCCAGTGCGTACCATTCATCAACACCGCTACGCCAAGCTTGAGTTCGGGGATCATCATTATTTCAGCAGTATAGCCAAACACCGCTCCGCTCTGATTCACATTCACACGGGTTACCCTGCGGCCATCATTCAAGAGAGATGGGTGTGGACGCGCTGTACCTTTCCCTTTTGCCAGTAGTTTGGGTTTCCTGGATAGGTCAAGAGTAGATTCTCCCAAGGCATGCCCATGGAGGTAAGCTGAAAGAAGAAGGTTCATCTCAGTATAAGCTACGACAACTGTGTGAGGTGTCATTGCTGTGCGTACACCATACTTGGCTGCAGCTGAGTCGTAGAGAGGGATCAGCCATTCCTTGATGGTCTGGCCGTCAAGAATCTGCGATGGAATCGTGTACTCGGTGTAGTTGTCCCTGAAGATGAGGGACATCAAGTGGCACAGATCCTCCACCGTGGAATACCTAACACGCGCACATGTAAAGCATGAGATCTCTTGCATCCCTGAAGCTTCCCTTTCAAGTGATGGTGCGTACATCTGGCCTGCGGGAGCTTCCCATCCCAGATCATAAAGAGGCGCAGGTTGGTCCGTTCCATCGAAGTAGCCCACAGCCATCTTGCTTTTTACCTCGGGTGTAAACTGATGGCCACACCCGATTAATTTGATCACTTCGGTCAACCGGTTGTGGGACAAGTTTGTGAGGCGTACCGTGAATCCGGTGTTGGTCATGTTCAACGATTGGAGAATGTTCTTCTCGACGTACGATTCAAAGCTGTCGCCAACAAGCTCCTCAAGGAGACGGCCAAGCAGGGCGAACCCAAAATTGCTGTACGATGGTCTGGTGTCTTTGGAATGAAATGATGAGTGAGAACAATGTTGAAGCTGGTCTGAGTGGAGCCACACTCCAACGTACCGATGGGTTGAATGGTTTTCTGCGAGTTGATGCGTCTCAGTATCTCATCAGTGGTGACGTTGCAGTCTCCCCATAACCCGCCACACGGCCTGCGTGCGTGAGGAGTCTGAGTTCATCGTTGCACTAAACAATCTTGAGAGTGTGATGACCTACGAGGAGCGTGGGAGGCCGGCCATATGGGATCCCAACTGACGCCAAGTTATGCCCCGCTTCGTAGGAAAGACGTTCTGGATGGCGGACTTCCACTGAGGGAACTTCTTGCCGATCTACAATGATCACCCACCACAGTTATAGGGTTAGTTATCAGGAAAACGACTCCTGGCCTTCAAGACGAAAGAGGACCTCTTCATCGAGATCAAGGACGCCACGATCACGGAGCTGGAGAAGCATCAGATCAGGAAACACCTTCGATATCGATCCTACATTGAACCAGAACCATCCAAGTTAGTAAGCAGAGTCATCACTCGCGCAAAATAGTGCTCGAAGCATACCAATCCTGAAGATGTTATCGGGACTGACGGGTCTGGCCTTCGGTCCCATCTCTGCAGAGCCCAGTCCCACCTTCCATAGAATTTTCTGATCGTAGACCACCGCTGCGGTCATACCTGATGATGACGCGCACAGAGCGGTTGATGAGTTGTCTTCATGCACACCGAAGGTGGTTCACGCGTCAAGCTAGGCGAAGGCATCATGAGTACCCAGGGTCTGATTGGTGAGGATGAACTGGTTGGTCCACGTCTTGACCAGCAGGTCAAAGTGAGGTTCCAGGTGCGCACGCCAGTTGGCCGGGAGCTCGACAGGCTGAGGAGCCTGAGGGCAGCTCAGCTCGGGGTAGATGTAGTCCCTCTTCCCCAACCCGTCCGGGGTGGGTGCCCACGCGAACTCCATCGGGACGGCGCTGTCCATCGAAAGCGCCGCGCTCGCATTCGCAAACACAACCACTAGCAGACCCACGCACACCAAAAAGCACTCCACACCGACCTTCCGCTCCATCGATGCTCTGCGCCAGTACAGACGGCAGCTCGCCCAGGGCTTTGCCTTTTCTTCTCTCTGGTTGTGCCGTTTCTGCTAACGCCAGGCCAAGAACTTCGACCACCAATTCATTTCATGTGTGCCGTGGTATCCCAAGAATTCAGTCTTTGGCTTTCGCAGGGGAGGAAGACGTGACGAACACGGGGGCTCAAGTGGAGCGGACGTGGCGTGGGTGCTACTTGTTGCACCAACGTTGGAGGTCAAAGTGGCGCAGATCATTAATCATTCGTGGGCCATTTCGCCGGTGGTTGGCAAGGGTTCGGCATCAGCGTCGGCGTCGTCGGCGACGGCAAAAACGGGGGGCGCCAACGGCATTGGCGCTGAGTCAGTGGGCGTCGAAGAGATGGGCGAGTCGAAGCTGTCAAAGGCCTCAGGAGCCTCCAGCGGGAGGAGCCCGGTGAGAATGTCCTTGATCTGCTTCATCTCGGCGAGAGCCAGCAGCACAGAGTCCATTCGCTCATCTTCCGACAGCACATTCCTGCTCCACCAACACAAGATTTGAGGTCAAAACACGCCACACACGACACACACTGAGTCACCGACATCTCACAGCCAACGAAGGTCTGCGTACTTCTTGTCGACGAAGCCGTTGTGCAGGGAAAGATGATTCGCTCGAGTCGGTGGCCATGTGAGTCTGCGTTCGGTCGAGTTCGGCCACGCGCGCTGTGAGTTCGGCCACCTGGCTGTGCAGCGCCGTCACTGCCGGAGACTCGCTTCTGTTTGGGTTGGGTCGGGGGGGGGTCAGCCAACACTTGAGCGCGGGTCTTGCAAAACACAGAAGTTCGCGAATCAGGGAGACCTTGGCGGGCGATTTGCTGACGTGTGGCTTGGACTCGGGTATGAGGTGCTTCAGCGTGTCGGCGAGGCTGTGCCGGTGAGAGCTCGGGGAGAAGGGCTTGTCGTCCGACTTTTTCTTTTTGTCTGTCTTGGCGGCCTTGGTGGCCTTGGCGGGCTTCGCTTGCTTGTGGGCCCCGAGCGGATCAGTCGTCGCCACCTCGCTCTCACTTCCCGCAGGGAACAACGGCGAATCAAGCAGGCTCGCTGGCTGCGTTGGCACCGGCCAGAAATGTTAGGCATTGTCAGGACGTGGAAAACCAGTCGCAGCGACGTCGGCAATCAAATTAAGAGAGCGAAGGCGTACAATGATGGGTGAGCTGGTGGCGGATGCGGTGTTGCTGGCCTTGGCCGAGGCAGCCTTGGGGTTAATGAGTGCGAGGGCCTTGGTGATAAAGCCAGAGACGTCTTCCACCGGCGGTACTTGAACAGACGCTGGAGGCATGCCG